TTATGATAATTTAGAATTTAAGCTTTCCAACATACCGCCATTGAAAAAAATCTTTTCCAAAATCCAAATTTTATTTATTTAATCAGATTACGAAATTAAATTTAAAAAAAAAAATATTAGAAACAATTAATAAATAAAATGAATGAGCTGTTATCATTTTTGAGTGTTACATGTATAGTTCGTCTATGTAAGGAACTCCCCCCACCATTCGTCTGAAGCAGTGGTGGTGACTATGGTAACGAGGTTAAACTGTTTCAAGTAGGGGTGTTGGGTTATCATTTAAGACAGGTTTTGGCTCGAGTCGATGGAGAAAGGAAATCAGCGAAGACAGAAGCTCTCCTCTTTGAAATGCGATATTTCTTGTTTCCATAGCAGCAGAAAACCTTAGAATTTCTGGCGAGGGGAGTTCTTTCTATAGACAAACATTACTTTTTGAATGTAGACCTGTATGGTTATTTTTGGAAACTCTGAAGCTCGTATTTTAATATGAAACTAGTTTCAAATGAATTCCTGTCTGCAAAAAGGTTTTTAAAAATTTGAAAAGTCTTTGCACTTATTGTAATTTTAACTTTGCGTGTTTGGAATATTCTAAATTTTTTCCTTTTATGTTTCAATGAATTATATGAGTCTTAGTGAAAATATAACCTCCATATTTTGAAATGAAACGGGTTTCAAATTTAAACCGCGTTGCGAAAAAAGTATAAAAAATTTGCAAAATGCCCATCCCTTATTTGGTTTGGACTGTTTATTGGTGTTTTGAACTAAACAGGAATTTTTTCAAAATTTTCAATTCATATTTCTGGCTATGCATGAATATTTGAAAAAAATATGGCACTCCTATTTTAATATGAAACAACTTTTAAATTTATCTTGTTTTACCGCAAAAAGAGTTTAAGAAACAAAATTATATTTTTAAATATATTAATTATTATATCAATTATTAGATTAAAAAATCATATTAACAATATAAAAATTATATTAATTGTTATCAAATTATATTGTGAGCCAAATGGCTTTAAAATACACGGGAAACAGTAACCCGGAAGTATAGGCGGTATGGAGTTGCCTAATGTAGAAAACACCATCCATTTTGAAGCCTTTTTGGCTCAGAATGGGATCACTGTTTTTTGACACTCTCTTGAGTAGTATTTCTTGTAAGCGTGTATTTGTTACCTTATTTATTATTCATGCTCAATGGATGGGTGGTCTAATGTAAACAATAACAACTGTCCTTAAACCGGAAGAAATTTAGAAAATTTCCGGTGTATCCCTCCGCTTATGTTATGACTACGAGGTGATGTGTGAACAAGCCTAATATTCTATGCAGTTTTGTTATTGTAATTTGGGTTCAAATCTAAACATAATTGTACCATTCATAAGAGCTTTCAGAAATGTATTGNTAAATCAGATTTCTGATGCATCGCCTTGAATGAAAGTCGCTGTATCGTCTTGCCGATATATGCGTTAAATCGATATGTCCCGATACATCGATTTACAGCCCAGTCCTAATTATGATAATTTAGAACTTAAGCTTTCAAACATGCCACCATTATAAAAAATCTTTTCCAAAATCCAAATTTTATTTATTTAATCAGATTACGAAATTAAATTTCAATAAGAAAAATATTAGAAACAATTAATAATTAAAATGAATGAGCTGTTATCATTTTTGAGTGTTACATATACAGTTCGTCTATGTAAAGAACTCCCCCCACCAATCGTCTGAAGCAGTGGCTGTGACTATGGTAACGAGGTTAAACTGTTTCAAGTAGGGGTGGGGTGTTGGGTTATCATTTAAGACAGGTTTTGGCTCGAGTCGATGGAGAGAGGAAATCAGCGAAGAGAGAAGCTCTCCTCTTTGAAATGCGATATTTCTTGTTACCATAGTAGCAGAAAACCTTAGACTTTCTGGCGAGGGGTGTTCTTTCTATAGACAAACATTACCTTTTGAATGTAGACGTGTATGGTTATTTTTGGAAGCTCTGAAGCCCGTATTTTAATATGAAACTAGTTTCAAATGAATTCCTGTCTACAAAAAGCTTTTAAAAAATTTGATAAGTGTTTGAGCTTATTGCAATTTTAACTTTGCTTGTTTGGAATATTTTTAATTTTTTCCTTTTATGTTTCAATGAGAGTCTAAGTGAAAACATGACATCCATATTTTGAAATGAAGTTTCAAACTTAAACCACGTTGCGAAAAAAATATAAAAAATTTTCAAAATGTCCGCCCTTTAGTAGGTTTGGACTGTTTATTGGTGTTTTGGGTTAAACACGAATTTTTTTCAAAATTTTCAATTCATATTTTTAGCTATGCATGAATACTTGAAAAAAATATGGCACGCCTATTTTAATATGAAACAACTTTTAAATTTATCCTGCTTTACCGCAAAAAGAGTTTAAGAAACAAAATTACATTTTTAAATATATTAATTATTATATCAATTATTAGATTAAAAAATCATATTAAAAATATAAAAATTATATTAATTGTTATCAAATTATATTGTGAGCCAAATGGCTTTAAAATACACTGGAAACAGTAACCCGGAAGTATAGACGGTAGGGAGCTTGCATCGTTGCCTAATGTAGAAAACACCATCTATTTTGAAGCCTTTAGGCTCAGAATGGGATCATTGTGTTTTGACACTCTCCTGAGTAGTATTTCTTGTAAGCGTGTAATTCTTACCTTATTTATTATCTATGCTCAATAAAAGAATCGTTAAGACAATCATTATTTGAAGACCTGCCATTTCAAGACGCAAGTAGCGTCATTTGAAAAAAAGAATCGTTGCAAAGCATTTCTTACCTTGTCGAGAATCTACCAACTTCGAAATTTAAACCTGAATGATAATTTGTAAAATGAACTTAATCTCACTGCTAGAGCAATATGCTAACACTAAAGTATGATGGTGCAAGGCTTGCAACTAAAACAAACAGTAATAAACAAGTGAAAAAAAGGGCCAAATCGGGACTACCTAAAAAGCGAGTTTTTTCAAACTCTAGTAACTATGCCACCTTTTTTAACTATGCATCTATGGATGGTTCACTGAATGTAAACAATAACAAGCTTCCAAAAACAAGAAGAGATTCAGAAAACTTCTGGTGTATCCCCCCTCCTTACGTTACGCCGGGATAGCCTGGTCGGTAGGGCGCTGGGCCCATGTCCGAGAGTTCGTGGGTTCGAACCCTGCCGGCTGAAGACTCCCCGTTTAGTAAAGTGACTGATGCACGATAAATCTGTCGAGTCGCATAAGCCCCCCATGTTCCCATAACAAATCAATACCCCTGGGGGTACTGGATTGGAGATCGATCGTTCTCTGATTCAGGTCAAAATTACCATCTGTGGATGAATGAATGGATGTATGAATGGGTCCACTCTATAAACGGGTGCGACATACGGTTGGGCAGAAGTCGAATTCTTGACCCTAGATGGCGCCACTGAAAAACAAGAAACACACACTCTGCCTTAAATTTGCTTGGTTTCACCAAGCAGACTTGCACGTGTAGCAAGTAGCATTAGAAACAGCAACGTTATGCTTATGAGGCGATATGTAAACAAGCTTAAAATTCTAGGAAGTTTGATTATTGTAATTTGTGTTTAAATTTGCTATTTATTTTACCATGCATAAAATTTTTCTCTAAGTTACAAATTCTAACATTTCGAGAGCCTTAAACAAATTTAACAAAATTAATATCACAGCGTAAATAAAGTGTAAGTTTTACCAAGTTTTGATTGTTACCTCTTATTTGATTATATTTGTGTAAAATAGCGCCGTTTGTTATTTTTTGGGTGGCTTGCGAAGTCTTCCGGATTCATTCGTTGTTTTGTTTCGTTGAACTTTAAATTGAAAGAACGCGTTATATTGAAAATACTACAAGTATAATAATATTGAATGACGCACTTTTTCAAGCTTACGCATCAATCGGAAGTAGTAGCCCAGAAGTCTTACGACAAATTTTAACCCCTAGCACCATCTGTGCTTATTTTTTAAGGCTATAATGAAGTGAAATATCCTTATTGGTAGACGGATAATAGATTAGAGTCCCTTTATTTTCAGACTAATCATGGCATGTTTTCGTGGCCTTACTCTCCATGTAACGCGGATGCGGATAAGTTCAATCAAAAAGTCAAATTTAAAAAAACTTTAAAAAAAAGTTTTTTGCAAAGACAAATTTCCTCCGATACTTGATTTAGGAATTCCCTTGTCAATTGGAATTGGGTTCAAAATTACAAGTCTGCGGAGTTGAAGATTAGTCGTCGTAAACTCAAAATTTGGATCAGCTGTTCAACAACAGTTGTAGAATACATAAAACTATAGCTTTATGTGGTCAACTATCCATAAATAACTAAAACATATATTCACTTTAAACTCACAAGAATTACTTAGTATCATTAGTATCTTATAAAATACAATAGATTTGAGTTTAGAAATTATATTTTCTAATCAGAAGAAAGAGCAGGTCAAGAACTCGAGATATATTGAATACGCCATCCATTTTTCCGCGAGAAACTGATCAGTTTCCCTTGAGATTTGCGGTCAAAATTTGCTATTGCTGGAGGAGAGCCGAACTATTTACGTAGGGAAACACTTCGCATGCTTTTATTATTAGCTTGTGGGTGTCATAGGAGAAGGAAATACGGCAGTTTCTCTTTTGATTTTAAAGAACTAGATTAAAAACTTTTAAGTTATGAAACTATATGAATACAAAAACTACAATTCATTGAACATAGCTCTACAAGAAAGCGGCGGGGAAATTTCAAAAAATGTTTGTGGCAATTAAACATGAAAAATATAGGGTAAATATTAGGTAATATAGGTAAAATATTGTTGCACATTCCTAAACAAGCGGAAAGAGATGTAAAGGGTAATGCCAAGACATGGAACCGGTCTACTCCCCAGATGGCGTATCGATTTTTTTACTTCCAGTGTGAATAGCTGCTTGGTTGGGTTTTTTTCGGATCATAAATGATCTATGTTAGTTTCATATAAACTTCAAACCTGATTTAATCAATCAATCATTTATTGCTGAACTGAAACTCGAAAAAAGAAAACACTGGGAGAGTGTGTTAGTGTAAACAAAGAATTACTAACCGGTGTGACACGTCAATCAAAATCGTTTGACTACAAAAATTTACTTTTGTTATTTTATGTCTTATTAGTGGTGTTATTTATTAAAGGTAATAGTTTTATTGAAATCATTACAATTAGATAAATAATCATACAGTGTTTGTCATTTTCAAAGTCTTACTTTTTTCCTACCTTTGAGTACTTTTTTTTTAAAAAAAAATTTACTTTTGAAGGTCGAATGATATCTATTTTTAATGTATTTCATGATTTTTATAACTAAGTTTTTTTTTTATTTGTCTATCTAACTTTTACAGATGGAATCAGAATTTAAAATCCCAACAGACCTAGAACTATTACCCTTAGGTGATAATGGGGAAATGGAAATCGTCCCCGCCTCTCATAAAAATCGTTTGGGAACATCCGTAAGTAACATTCTTGGTTACATATTTTAAAATATTCCCAATATTTTTTCTCCGCAATTTAACAGAATTTTTTGTGTATATATCTGTCAAGGTTGATAAAATTTAAATTATGTGATGAAAGTGACTAGAAAGATTTAAACTTCCATTGGCATCGGGTAAAATAATTTTCCATTTAAAGGATGATATCACTAAAGAAGTAAACATTAGCCATGAACATCAAGGGACACTTAAACTTAAGAAAATATGTATTGGTCATATTAAAAAATTGTTTACCAGGCAGTGACATTTAACAACAATATAGGGCATTCTGAGTAGTGACACTTCACCTTAAGAAAAATTCAATGCAGGCAGTGGCATTTAACTATAACAGTATATCAGGCAGTGGCATTTAACTTTAGAAAAACATAAGTTTATAGCAGGGTTGGCAAGTTTTTGACACATGACGGTTTTTACCGGTTTATACCATGGTTTTTACCGTCATGTCAAAAACCCATAGTTTTGATAAAACTGTATTTTAATTTGAGTTTAACTGCTTATGATTTAAAATTAGTTCATATTTGGGCAATAAAATTAGAAAAAAAGTTGTTGAAAGATATTTAAGAAGAGATTTTTGCATTTTCCTAACATGATTATATTAAATCATACTATTTGAAGTAAAATATTAGGATACTAAACAAAATTTTCAACATTTCCAAGCATCATTTTGTTTGACATATTACATTACTGAAGAATGTCAAGTCATTCCTGACTTAGAGTTTGTTAGTAGTTACAGAGTTTGTTAGTAGTTACAAGTTTTGAAGTTTTGTTTAGCTTATTTCTAATATTTAAGAAATGCCAAATTTTAAATTCTTCCTTTTAGTTCTTGGCATCTAACATAGTTGGGNCTTAAAGAACACCCAGCTTGTCTTGGATGTGCAGGCAGTATATACACAGTGCTGTTCACATTGCCACTATCTTTCGATTGGTAACAAAATTTTAAAGCTGTAACCTCCATGATTCTGGCACACAATGGGCTGTTAACTTTAAGTTATAAATCTTTAATACTTTAGTTATAATGTTAAGTAGCATTAAGGATTAATATATTTTATCAGAGTTTTGATAGAGGTAATTTTAAAGGAAGCTAGTTTAAATAGAAGTTCTTAATTTACGCTGCAATAGAGTTGCTCAGTGGGCTATTTGGCAACAGTTTCAGAAACATCTCTGAGCATGATGCAAAGACATATAATTAAAATAAAAAAACACTTTTTTTTTAAAAAAAATTCTGACAAAAAGCATGATTTATGAAAAACCTTGATATCTATTTTAAGTAAGCATAGCAAATATCATTTTTTTAATTATCAGAACCCCATAATCCCTCTATACTAAAAATAATTGGACATCCCTAATGACTTTTGAATTGTATCTGTACCATTGTATCTTGCATTTTTGTAAATTGTATCTTGTACATATCTGTAGTATTTGTCTCATTGTAAAATATTGACAAGTAATGCTGAATTTCCTGAGCCTTGTACTAACACCCAACCCTAGTTTTTTATTTTATCTTATTACTAATGCTCATTTATTAAAACTTGCTAATCTGATATTTTAAATAAGCTTTTTAGTGAATTATTTGAAATGGTTTTTTGTTTTGGAACTTTAAATTGCATAAATATTAAAAAAAATTCCTTTATATTTGATATTGATAATGTTTTCAGAGATTACCTTGTGGTTTGCCGCCAGTTTTACCTACTGTGAAAGAGAAACTTGAATCTTTCCTCCAAAATATAGAAGAATTACCAATTCTTCACTTAGATGCAGTGCAAAAGTGAGTATCTTTTTATGGTTTTCTTTTCGAAATTTATTTCATTTTTTTATTTGTCTAAATATTGTTAAAATAGATATAGTTGAACACAAACATTAATGAAATGTTCAAATGTTTAGCTTTTTTAGAACTTTGATTTTTTTTATTAATGTAAGTCTCATTTTTATGAAACTTTTAAACAAAATCGATGTGTCAAGTAATTTCAATTACTTTGAATTAATAGTTGAAATAACAATTAGAGTTGAGAGATTTCATTAAGACTTTTTTTATATTTGAAATTTGATTTTTTAGGCAGTGATTTAAACAAGTTAATTTTTATTTTTTAATCTCTTATAATTTAATCATATTAAAAATCCACTTAAAATATTTTATTTAAATATGTCAAGTGTTTTTAAAAAATTATGATGGTTAATGAAATATTACAAATTTTTTGTGAAAGAATGATTTAATAACTACCATAATTTTTTTCTCAATTAAAATTATTTTACAAAAAACAGAATAAACATCTGAATTAACAAGTTTTAGATAATATGGTTTATTTTTCTTTTTAATGCCCCAAGGTTTTTTTTGTTAATTAACAAGTGGTAAAGGTTATATTTTTTCAATTTGACCTAATGTGATTGTTTTGCTTGAATGTTAACATTAGTTCCAAGTGAATTGAATTTTATTTTATTTTTCGAGCATTTTCGACAGTCATCATGTTTATTTTTTAAGGGGGAGGGAGTGGTTGTCTGCAAAATTAACTGATTAAGACAAGATACAAGTCTTGATTACTTGACAAAATAAACAAACAAACAAAGATAGAATGTTTTTATTTCCTATGTAGTTTTCTTTTTTAAAAAATTTATAGATCTTAATTGCTTGCTTGTTGTTTTAAAACTTGTTTGTCTTGATACTTAATTAAGTAAGCTATGTATGTATGATAATATTCTTTGTATTATATGTTTAGATTGATACCAAGGGAGCCTGATATTGCATCACTTTATTCTATTGACTTATGTCCTCTGCAGACAACACTAAATGTCAAAAGAGATATGATGACAGGAAAATTATTAGGTTTTAATGAAGTAAGAAAAATACTACACTTTTTAAAGTCTTTATTACTAACCCTTTTAGAAAAATATTGAATGCAAATTCTGAGCCTGACCTGATATATTTTAATGCAAATTCAATGCATTTCTTAAACAAATTTCAAAACGCTATTTTTATTTTAAATCTTTCATATTTTTACTTTAAAATTTGTGCTGTTATTTTTGAAAGTGGAATATCATTCTCATTTCATCTCTCTCTTTTTTTTTCTTAACAAGGATTTTTGTAAGATTAGTATTTTAATGAATTAAAAATATTGGCTGTTAGGAAACTCATACGTAAATCAAAGTTTTTATTTATCCAGATTAACTTTTTTTAGAGTTGTACTGAAATGAAAAAGATTGGTTGATTGTTTGAATCTATTGAACAACGAAGTGATGTTTATTTTTGTGTATGTGATCATCATTAAATGCTTTCTTTTTATAAAATTTACACAGAGTTTGGTGTTACAAGATGTTTTTAATTTAAATGTCTACAAGACAAAGAACCTTTTGCTAGAAGTTGTTCTGAGTTTCTTCGAATTTATGAATGTAAAATCTGCTATCAAAACAGAGCAGGTATTTTTAATGAAGCTATCTTTATAAATAACGACATATATTTATTGGTAAAAGTTAATCAATTAGAGTAATGTTCTTAACACTATAATGTGAGGAAATATCAAAATGCAACACAGATTTTAAAAATTGTAAAAAAAACAGAACAGGAAAGAACTCATTTAGTTCCAAATGGTCTTATTCTATTTAAAATAATGGCAATGCATTTTAAAATTTTAATTTGGAAACTAGAATAAAATTATCTCTTTTAGTTCTCTCATTAAAGTGTGTTATTTCCTTTATTTTAAATCTCATGTTAATTTAAATTACATATTCTTTTTTTTTTTCATATTTTTATTTTAAAATATAATAAATGTATTCTAAAACCTTTATTTAGAGATTTGAATATGAGATTTGTTTCAATTCTCATAAAATATATGTTATTTCCTTTATTCCAGATCTTCAATTCATATTTTTACTATTTATTCCTATTTTTACTATATTATGTATTTTAAAATTTTTTTTAGAAATTAAAATATGGAATTTATTTTATTTATTTCATTAAACTATACTTTTTTTTATTCATGAATGCACTTTAAAATGCATGAAATGTATTTTAAAAACTTTATTTAAAAGTTTTATTCAAACATTTTATTTAAAAATTAGAATATGGGATTGCTTTTAGTTATCTCATTACAATATACTATTTTGTTTAATCTATTTAAATATTTCCTTCGTATTTTTACTCCAAAATATATTAAATGTATTTTTAAAAAATTATTTAGAAATTAAAATATGTGATTTTTTTTGTTATCTAATTAAAACATATTATTTTTTATTATATAAAGGATGTGAAAGATATGTTTGAAGGCACGCACAAAACTTCCACCTCTCTGCATCGTGCACCTGGCCCACCTGACGCAGGTGTGAAAGGGTGTATGAGTAGTTTCCCATTTTGGCCTGGTGGAATGGACGAACCATCATTTACTGACCTGCTGAAAAAAGAAACCATAGATACATCACTTTTTGATGGAGGTGCGAATTTATCTAATCTAGTGGTTTTTCTACGTTATGTATATATTTTCAAACATCATCATATAGTTCACAGCTAGAAAATTCTTGTGTGTTGTTGTAATCAGAATATTAAAGTAGCCTTTTTCCGTATATGTGTTAATGCTTCTTATAATTTAATTGCTGTATTATCCTAACAGCGTCTTTTGCAAAGAAAATTAACAAGGCCATAGTTTAAGTGCTTTACACTTTCAGCAAAACTATAAGTTTGTGAGCCCATAATAGCTCAGTTGCCCTCCCAGTTTCAGATCGATGGGTACCAGCTTGTCTGAGGAGTAAAGGCGGTTGGTGCGCAATGCTGAACACATTGCTATCATCATGCCTTGGTCATGAAATTGTGGAGTCTTAACCCCCATTACCTTTTTAGTCCACAATAGATTGCTGTGGAAATGCTTTTTTTTACTTTACTTGTAATTATTAAGAAATATACTATCTCGGCATAGAAAATTATCTGGGTTTTTGAATGGATAACTAATTTAAATATTTTGAAAATTCGAAAACTTTTTTAAAAAAATCATCAATTTGGCAAGATTTTTTCATCTAGATGATAATTTTCAATTTTTATAAATATTTATGAGCATATAGCATTGAAGTAATATTTTAAATATAAAAAAAATTAGGTAACAAATGCTTTTCCGTTTCACAAAACTGTGCCTTCTCTTTATATTGGCGTTTTACATCATTTTCAGCATTTACTTAGAGAGTGCAGTCTAAAAATAGGTTTGAGTTGCTCAAACAGTCATAAATAATAGCTACTATGAAAATAGCACATTATTCGCAAAGGAATGTTATTTCGTGTGACGATCATTGTACTTTGAAAAGCATCCGGAATGAATTGCGTACACAGAGCAGCACAATTTTTTATAATTTTCAATGAGAACATTCTGAAAGTGTTTTATTGAATACAGTAATTGAAAAGTTCTTTATTGTCCTCTAGAGTTGTTGGACACTCCCCCTGGTTTTCCGAGTGGAATGAAGTTTGAGAGAAAGACGCCAGATGAGGTAGACTACATTCGCCCTCAACCTCAAAAAATATACTTGTCTGATGTGTTTGCAATGGAAGATACCATCCATTTGGACATTATTGGAGATTCAGAAGTTATAGCGGATGATGATGTTGATTTAGAAAAAGTAAGTATGCCATGATTAATCGCGCAAATTCAACTTGTTTACCATTGATTTCTTTTTCATACTTTTCTGATTTCTTTTTAAACTGTGTTGAAATGCAGATCCACACTGAAAAAGTAGAGTTTCAGTGTTTGCAACCTACTAATGTGATAGCTTTGTTTTAAAAAATTCATTTTAACGTTATTTTGAGGATCAAGTTAAGTATATTTTTCTTTTCAGTGGAAAAAATTATTTGCCTAAACGCAATTTTCTTCGCCAAATTTGCGATTTTATCACTTTTGGTGAGGTGGGGAATACTTAGCGCAGGCCCTGATTTTAAAACAATTATATATTTTTTAAAGTTTTGTTAAGAAAAATAATAAATTGGCAAATTATTTCCAAAAATCAGTGTCCATGTTAGTTAGTTATTGTTAGCATTCTTTTGATGCATACATCAATGGATCATTCAACTTTTTTCCTTAAATAATACCATTACATTGTCTTTACAGGCTCAAAATGAACCAACTGAGCAGTCTTCAGATGCTGAAGATTCTTTTTCAAAAATAGTGAGTAATTTTGTATTTTATATTGTATGTTATTTGTTATATTCTTTTCCTGGACTTTGGCAAAACATTTGGGGGTACAGAGAGTGCAATTTTGGACTTTTGTCTTGCTCTCTCGATAGAAAAGGTTTTGCTTTTATGACTTCCAGAGCTGGTACCCCCTGAAGANTGTTATTTGTTATATTCTTTTCCTGGACTTAAACAAAACATTTGGGGTACAGAGAGTGCAATTTTGGACTTTTGTCTTGCTCTCTCGATAGAAAAGGTTTTGCTTTTATGACTTCCAGAGCTGGTACCCCCTGAAGATGTCAGCTTTGGTTGTCATACTTATCCAATTTTTTCATATTTTCACTGTCTCATTTGCTTCAATTCCTTTCAGATTCACTACTGCTAAGTGCATTTTTCCATTGGGGAGTATTATTATTTTTAATTGCTTTAAAATTTTGAATTCTTTACTTAATATTTAGTAAAAACAAGTATCTAAAATAAACAAACCAGTTTTCACCTTTTAAAGATAAAAAAATTTTATAATATGAAATTAAATGTAAACTTGAACAAAAAAACATAATTGTTTATTTGTTTAAAATAGCATTATTGTTCATAATCGGAACATTTGTTTTTATATACATAATTACCGCAAACATTGAGCTCCTTATTTTGATTCATTTGTTGATTACGGCCTTCTTGAATAGCCTATATAGTTCAAAATTATATCCTCTCCATAAACCATCCACATTTATAACACTGAAAATTTTTCTCATGATCTTTCTCTCAAAAAACAGCAAGCAGTTCTGCTTGTGATTTAGTTAAAGATCATGTTTTGGACAGTAATGAGTTCAGCAAGTTTAAAATTAAGAAGCAATCTTTAAGCAAAACCTTTAAAATATTATTTAATGGCCCGAAAAAACTATCATATGATCAAATAGATAAAATTATCACAATATTTGAAAATTTTGCAAATTGCAGGATAGCCATGAAGAAATTTTTTAAACCATTTCCTACCTACATGAGGACCATTTTATATCATTTATGATCATATGTTGGGAAATGATTTGTATATCATTAAATTTTAACTGTAAATAAGTATTATAACTGTTAATGCAATCAAGATAATTATCGTAAAGTAATGTAAATTTATTAATTGTTAGTATATAAATGTATTATTTGTAAACAGTAAGTGTCATGTTAAAATAGTATTGATAATAAAAAGTTGCAAATTAGTATCCTAATAATTTATTTTTTTTATTAAGGAAAATAGTTTCTTCAAGATTAATGTTTCCTTTTTTTTTCTTCATACAATTTATTTAAAATAAGTGTTTTAAAGTTGAAGTATATTCCTTACTAAATGTTCAATCTTACTTGGAGCTGAAAGAGTTTTATTTTAATTCAAAATTAAACCCTTTCAGCTCCAAGAATTTTAAAAAATTTTAACCCTATATACTTTCTTTAAATCAAAGTTTTTAACTTGAATTTATTTTAATAACTAGATTATATTTTTTTAATTAAATTCTATGAACAAATTTTTTAATGTTAAAATTTATGTTTAAATGAACTTTTGTATCCCATTGTTTTTAATTTCAATAAATTTGAATTTTTTTCTTTCAGAAAAATTAATTTCTGATTTTCTAATTCTGTTCATTTTTCTAAGTAATTAGTTTTGCCATTTCTAATTTTAAGCTTTTAAAGGTATTTAATTAAGTTAAAGAAAAGCTAAAAAATTTCGAGATAGTGAGTTTTCGAGGTAAGAAGTTTAGAACTATTGTAATATGTTCTAAAAAGTAGAAAAATATATTCTAAAATATTACTCAAAAATTTTGAATCATGAAGCATAAGAATAACTACTATAAAATATGTATGTAATGATAGTTAACTATAAGTCTAAATACAACAATGATAATTTTATTTTTAAATGTAAGATGAAAAAAAATTATGCATTTAATAGAAAAGATTTAGTGTGCAATAATTTTACATTGTGATTTTTCCAAAAAAATAATTTCCCTTTCAAGAAAAAATCGGCACAACAAGGTTTTTCGAAAAAACTTTCTAACATAAGAATTCAAATTAACATTAGGTGAATATATAATTCAAAGGGGAAAAATATTTTTTTTGACAGAATAAGGTTTTTGAGATATCTAGAGTATTGAAGTCAATGGTTTTAAAATGTTTTTGTTGCAAAAAAAAAAAAAAAATTCTTTTTACACTTGGTTTAAAATGGTTGCAGATGTCTTTACCTGTTTTGAAAATTTCTGAAGCAGAACTTAAAAAACCACCAGTTGTATATGAATGGGCTGTCATCGATGATGTCAGGAAACCTGTGGCTGATTTTCATGAACGAATTCCAAAAATGGCTTTTAAAGTTAGTATTCTCTTTATTATATTTGTGCAAACTAATTTATTCTTCTTTCTCTCTTCCTTTCTCTTATCTTTCCTATTTTTGAAACATTTTTATTATTTATTAAACAAAACTTTATGCATTGCTATTCTACTGACTGTTTTTTAATGTCTGTCCTTAGTGTATATTTTTGGAATCCTTCTTTAAAATGTAGTCAAAAAAATTTATACATAGGAGGATTAAAGGTTCCAAATTATTACTATGGTTAGGAAAAAACAGAAACGTTACCCATACCTTAATTATCAATAGGGGCCTTTCAAATATTACAATTTTAATATATTACCTGTTTTGGGCACATTTGGAAATCACAAGCCGCCTCCCCTGCTTATGTCAAAGAGTCATAACGCCTCCTCGTTTATGCCTTAACTTTTACTGTATTTTAGTAGTAGGATAAAACTCAAATAAAAGATGTAACATATTTATGCTTTAATTCATTTTTTGTAAAATTTTGAGTAAAATATATTTTTAGAAATCTTTTATGTTTTCCTATTGAAATCAAAAAGAATTTTTTTTTCCAATATTTTTGTATCCTTAAATTCAACTTTTATTCCAAATTTCAGAATTTTCTGGGTATGATTTTTTTATCATATATTTTAGTTAGTTTTTAAGAAAATGTTTAATATAAAAAGATTTTTATTTAATACCTTGCTCATACCCCCTCCCCTTCTCATGTCAGCAAAAATAAGCAAATCATAAACTCTATCCTCACAGTAGGGGCTTACATTATGTTTGAATTGCCCTTTACTGTGGAAGTTAAAACAAAAACCTGTTTGTTTTTTTTTTGAAGAAACAAGAGATGCTAATAAGATTCTTCTGCGTTTCATCAGGCAATCAAACTGGTTTTGATGTTTTTAAATCTTTTTTCCTTAGTTAGTGATGCAAAGATTTTGTTTGTATTTTGGTTTTTATCACAATTAAGTATGAATTTGCAATCTCTAATGTGTATATATTTTTTTAATTTTGTGTCTCATGAGGATTTTTTAATTATAAATTTATTTAAAGGAGTAATTATAAATTTATTTATTTAATCCTCACAGTAGGTGCTTACATTATATTTGAATTGCCCTTTACTGTGCAAGTTAAAACTAAAACCTATTTGTTTTTTTAAGAAACAAAAGATGCTAATAAGATTCTTCTGAATTTCATCAGGCAATCAAACTGGTTTTTATGTTTTAAATCTTTTTTCCTTAGTTAGTGATGCAAAGATTTTGTTTGTATTTTGGTTTTTATCACAATTAAGTATGAATTTGCAATCTCTAATGTGTATATGACTTCCAGAGCTGGTACCCCCTGAAGACGTCAGCTTCGGTTGTCATATTNTTAGTTAGTGATGCAAAGATTTTGTTTGTATTTTGGTTTTTATCTCGATTAAGTATGAATTTGCAATCTCTAATGTGTTCTTTAATTAATTTCTTTAATTTTGTGTTTCATAAGGATTTTTTAATTATAAATTTATTTATTTAATTATATTTATTAATAAAGTGATTGTCTGAGTATATTGCAGTACCCTTAAGTGACTTAATTTTAAACTAAGATATGAAATAAAATTAAAGAAATATTTTAGCACATTAACTATTTTTAATTTATAGTTTTAACACTTTTGTTGCACATATGCATCAATATATACATATTTTATGAATTGATTAACTTATTAAAATGTCTCAGATTAATTATAAAATTATTCATTTGTTTATAAGGATAGAAAGCTAATTTTAAACAACTTTTAATCTTTTTAGTGGGAATTTGAATTGGATCCTTTCCAACAAAAAGCTGTGTTGCATTTAGAGAAAAAAGAGAGTGTCTTCGTTGCAGCTCATACATCTGCTGGCAAAACAGTTGTAGCAGAGTATGCTATTGCCTTAGCTCAGAAGCATGTTACAAGGTATATATATATATTTTAATAACAGTAACTTTGTTTTAAACTTTTTACCAACACTGGGACATTTACATAACCATTCCCTTTCACCTTTTTGTGAGAGTGAATTTCCGAGTACTCTCTAAAAGAATTTTATTTCTTCTTATGGATCATTCTACCGAAAACCCATCAAACTATTGTTATATTGCTTTTTTTCTTCCTCATAAAGTTTCTAAAATTGAACATGGCTCAAAAATGTGCTCACAGAAGATGATATATCTCTTCTGAGTATTGTCACAAACCTCATATTGTATAATTTCATGTGTTTTATTTTATTTCATAACCGTCGTTAAACAGCCAACCTAATTTGACTGCAATGCTAAACTCCGTAGCCTTGTGATTTTCAACACAATTCAATTGTTACTCCTGGATCAAGTATTCTTAGAAATTTAGTTTGTGGAAGACTTTTTGATTAAACTAACCTGCATTTGCATAACATGGAGAGGAAAACCACGAAAATCTCCCACAGCTAACCTGGCAGCAAGGAGGCTCTAACCCGTAATCCGTCTACGGAACTTAGCTCAACTTTAACACGCCGTCTTGTTTATGAAAGATCAGCTGGCACGGAGATCATCAGTCCTGTGTATCTGTAATCGTCTTCTTCTCGAGTTGCAATTATAAATTATCCAGTTTCATAAATTGCACTGAAGAACTATTTTTTTTCCCTTTTGCATGAGAATTTTAAACGGATTTTCGACATTTTCTCGTTGCTGGTTTCAGTTTATCTTAATTGCTGATTTCAATTTCTGTATACAAGCTACAGTTTTTATGCAATTTAATAATATATTTCAAACCAGGATTGTTTAAAATTCGCTCAAGTGAATACTAAGCTTCCCCACTTTTCTGCTATGTGGGGAGTGCTAGGAAGAAGGTTGTAATGTATTTCAATTAATGATGCAATATGTTAAGATCGTTTGTTTTTTTGTCTTAAGTGTTATTTTCAAAGATGCAGAGAAATCTATATAAAACTATAACTTCTNGTATATAAATTCATATGTGGTTTATAAACTTGTAAATTCAGACTAAAAATAAACTAAACTTAAAATATTTTGGAAAAAAAAATTCATTTTCAGACTGAACTAATTTCAAATTTGAAAACCCTACACCTGAATTATGTAAGATCAAATAACTTAGATAAAGGTAACAAACCATTTGTTCCCCAGAGTTATTTTTTGATTCATAAATTCTAAAATTTAGTTTATTTAAGTTCTAAAGTTAATTAAAAGATAATACAAATGAATTTAATGTAACATTTGTATTAATTTCTTAGTTCATGAACATTCTCTAAGGAATTAATAAGATGTCTTCATAAATGTACAATGATATTCAGTTCTTTCTTCATGATAGTTTTACATAATTTCAAGGTTTTGTACAAATATGTTTGTTTAAAATTTATTCCTTAATTGTTGCATATTAGTTCAAAATTTAATTTTACCTTAAATACTTTTGAATCTAATCGTATATAGAGAAATGAAACTATTTAATTTGAAATTAAAATTTACTCAGCAATAACATTAATAATTCCCAAGAAATCGATCGAAATTTTAATAATTTCAGTATAAGTCAAACATTTCAACTACTGATTTCATGCATCTAATTGAAAACATTGTTGGGTGAACTTATTAATATAAGGTCTTGAAGTCTTTATGTAACACTAATTATTTTTTTCCCAGAGTTATTTACACTTCTCCGATCAAAGCTCTGTCCAATCAGAAGTACAGAGATTTCAAAGAAAAGTTTGGTGATGTTGGGTTAATAACTGGAGATGTTCAGATCAACCCAACTGCATTTTGTCTCATCATGACAACTGAAATTTTAAGGTAACAATGTAGTTAACAGTTTTATATTTTAACTTCTGATTTCTACATATTTTTTTAAGTGTTAATTATGACATTTTTATTAAAATAACCGTTCAGATTTTATTTAGCTCATAATCATGCAAATAATATTCTATTTTATAAAGTCCAATTTAAAAAAAAAATTTTTTTTCATTATTTAGATATTTCTTTAAGTTATATTCTGTCTCACTCATGACATAATGAAGCCAACTTATAGAAATCTGTTTATATTTTTTTATTGTTAATTTTTTTTAATTATTAAGTATTAATTTGTTTTTTTAATTGCTTATAGTGGCCCCTAAGGATTGTGTTAACATGATCAAAAATGTCTAAATTTTGCCAAAAAATTTTAAAATTTTTTACATGTCATTCGCAATTTACAATCAATTTTTTACATGTTCTCTGTGTAAGTTGGCTGGGATCTTTAATTAAAATTTGAAGGTTTAATCAAATTGAAGTGGAATTAAAGAAAATCTAGTTTTTTAAAGATGCTTTTGGATTTTTTTTATTTCAGTAAGCAGTTTATACAGTTGTTTTAACAAAAATTTCATTGTTTGTAAACAATGTATGTTGCATCGAAAAATTGTAGTTTGTACGAACTTATATTTAAAATTTTATTACAAATTTTATTTATCTGTTAGAATTAAAATAGACTTATAAATGATATTGAGAAAAAAAACAGAAAAATAGCAATTTTATAAAAAACTGATTTGAAATTTAAAAAATATACATTATGTAATGAAAAAAAGAAATTTTTATTAAAAAAATCGCATTAGATGTGGAGACTACCGTATGAGTTCTTATTAAATTCTAATTTTTTTTTTAAAAAAATAATTAAGTTATCTTAACTTTGTATTACTTTTGATCTTAAACATTTTTAAAAGTAATTCTCATATTTTGTGGTGTTTTTCTTTCTGACTTCCAGATTTTTGTAAAATAGTATTTTATCTAATAAATCTTTATTTTCCCTCATGCAAAATATTATATAATATTTTAAAAAATTCTTATTGATTTGTTTCAATGAGGATTTTTTTCTTGTGTAATTGCTGTCAGTTTGNTAAATTTTTTTTTTAAAAAGTAATAAAGTTATCTTAACTTTGCATTACTTTTGATCTTAAACATTTTTAAAAGTAGTTCTCATATTTTGTGGTGTTTTTCTTTCTGACTTCCAGATTTTTGTAAAATAGTATTTTATCTAATAAATCTTTATTTTCCCTCATATAAAATATTATATAATATTTTAATAAATTCTTATTGATTTGTTTCAATGAGGATTTTTTTTCTTGTGTAATTGCTGTCAGTTTATTATTAACATACTTAAATACATAAAAATTAATTGAAATTGTTTCCAGATCAATGCTATATCATGGTTCTGATGTTGTTCGTGAATTAGAATGGGTTATTTTTGATGAAGTGCACTATATTAATGATTCTGAGGTTAGATATTCAATTATTTTTTAGTTCTTGATTAAATGATTTTTTCTCTAATTATTATTTTGACTGCTATGCTTTTTTGTATTGAATTTGTATTTTACACTTTCGCAAGTGTTAAGTAAATAATCCTGGAACAGCCCATTCTAAGTGCAATGTGATCATAGAGGTTAAGATTACTTAATTTAGCAGCAAATAATATAATTCTGGTAAATATCTAACGTAGTAATTATTTTATAAACTAACTGGTCTCTTACTACTCCAACTTATTATTGTATTTTCTACATATTCTGATGATTGCTTGCTGTATGATTAATGTGACTAAATTAATAAATTACATTTTATTTCTTCTTCTTTTTAAATTAAGCAAAGAACAATCTATTCTTATATAATTTTTTTGTCATTCTATTGACCTATGCACTATTGTGTTTAATACATTGTTAAGATAAAATAAAATAAATGATTTTGTTTTAGAGGTAACACTGTATTTAAAACAGGCAGTGATCTTTAATTTTGTTAAAATATTCTTTAAAAAGATAATTAATTTATTTCTGTTATTCACGGTTAACTTCAATTAAAATTGCTTGAAATATTAAATTTTTAAAAAATTTTCTCAAAACAAATTCAAGACTGTTTGAAAATACTATCTGCTATAATTATCTGCTTAAAAATTAAGCATATTTTTTTAGAAATAAAACTTCAAACAAAACCATCAGCTTGATAAAAAGCTCACGAGAGATTAATAATCAGATTTTATTTTCAGCAACTTGCCTATATATAAGCAATTAACAACCAAGTCTGATTACAAGACTGTTATGAGAGTACTTAACTTTTTACGTTGCTTTTACATTTTTTTCTGCATGTCCATTACCTTTATGGCAGATATCTTGCTGTCATGTTGTCAGATATCTTGTTACCCTTTTGGTTGTTAATGTCGATTGTGAAAGTTCCTAACTTTTTACATTATTTCTACATTTTTTACTTCATTGTTAAAATAATATTATTCGATATTTGTAAAAAAAAACTAGGAAATTTTGGATCAATAATTTCTTTTGAAAAATGTATTTATTTTATTTCAGCGAGGTGTTGTTTGGGAAGAAGTATTCATTATGCTTCCTGATCATGTCAACTTGATTATGCTTAGTGCAACTGTTCCCAATACAGCAGAGTTTGCAGACTGGCTGGGGTTAGTAACAATTCATTTTTAACTCTAACCTTCAAAGAACAACTAACGACTTTGTCTGACCCCTTCTTCTTGTCTTTTTAATATCCATTCCATTTAAAATATGTGACAAATAATCTCTTACAATTTTTTTAGCGCTAGATATTAAATACTTGTTTTAGTAATAGCATGTTACATTCTAACAATTATTCAATTTGAGCATTAAATCAGAAAATTATAAATTGGTTTTCATTTGACAACTTTAAATTCTAACTTTCGTTGACAATAAGACAAAAATATTTAAATAATTTATTATCTTGTGAGAAGCGGAGAATCTTACTAGGGATTCCTTAATATTGTGGTTTATGGGGGGAAAAAAGAAAAAAAAATCAGGCATCTCTTTTGGGCACCCCTGTGTCACCAAATTGGAGAAAAATTTAATTTCAAATCAAATAAAAAATTCGATGTCACTAAATTGCTTTTAAGAGACAAGTTTCCAGTAAGTCTTTGGAGGACATTTTAACATCTAATTTTCCTAGAAATCTCCTAAGGCTAAATTTTTTTGATTGTTGATAAGACAATACCAACTGACACATTTATTTATTTTAAACTTGCTGGCTGTGCAGATTTTATTTTGTGCAAGGAATGTGTTATTATGTACCTCATTTTGGTTTGCTTTTCAGGCACAACCCTGGAGATACTTCCTATCTGTTTTAGACTTTAAAAAGTAAAACCTCAGTTATGTTTTTATTTTGTACAAAGCTTGAAATTAATTTTTTTAAAGTAAATAGACGCAGCGTGAAAATGTTCATAACACTTGATTCCTTTTTTTAAATTTCTCTTTTAAAAATTGTTGTTATTTTTAAAGAATAAATTGCAGGTTAAATTACTTGAGAGTTTCATCATTATCAAAAACAAAAAAAATTCATAATGTGTCCATTTGCCTAAATCACTTAGCACATCTTTTTAATTAAGTTTCTGAAAAAGTCAACAGTTTTTTTACAAGGCTGTCGTGGGTCCCATAAATTTGTATAGTGGTATTAAATTGACATAAGCTTACAAACAAAATTTATCTGCAGCATTAAATAGTCAAAAGGCACATTTTCAGCTGTATTCATTTTCTTAAACAGTATATCGAGCCTTGTCCAGCTTATCGAGGAAATGCTGAAAGACAAGATAAAATAGGACATATTCTAAATAATTCAGTATGTTATTGAGATTACACTAATGCATTGATTAAAATTCAAATAAAAACAATTATAATGTAACAATTTGATAAAAAATAACTTTTTCCTTAAAATCTTTCTTCACAAGTAGTTATAGACTGAATTTATTGATTGTGTTGAAGTATTTTGAAAGAGAAAAACTTGTTGTCAAATGTAAGGTATACTTCAGTTACGTATCACAAGCATAATATTATTACCAATTTCTCAATCGGTTACTCTTTCCAATAATTTTTTAAAAAAATTCATGTTTAAATTTCATAACATTACATATTTTTTAATAAAGAAAATACATTGATTTTTTTTCTGTGTTATGTTAGTGGGTTGTAGCAGCACCTTATATTACTGATGCATGTAAAGCAATGAGAAAATGTATTTATTAAAAAAATATTCTTTTCCGTTAATTCAGTGGTATCAAGAAGAGAAAAATCTTTGTCATCAGTACCCTTAAACGTCCTGTTCCTTTAGTTCATCACCTGTACACTGGTAGTGTAGGAAAAGCAGAAAATGAAATCTTCCCAATTGTTGATTCTACTGGGAAATTTTTGACTGATAAGTAAGATTATCAACAGTTTAGTTGTCTTTTCTATTTTTTATTGAGAGTCTAAATAGCCAAATTTGAATATTTTTCACGATAACAAATATGTGCTATACAGGTATATGGAGGCTTTGAAAGCCAAAAAGGAGAAGGAATCCAAATCAAAATCAAGTACAGGACCAAAGGGGCCTAAATATAACATATCTCCAGCTCAGGTATAATCTAACTTTCGCAGTTTTTCTTTATTTTTTTTTAATGAAAACTCTAATGAGATTAATCATGTTTACTTGGATAAAAGTTTTTGTTCTTTTTGTTTTAGCGTAACTGTAAATGTAATTTGATTTTTTGCTCAATAATCAAAACACTATTCTGTAATCGAATTAACAGAGAATAAGTAAATTGTTTTATGTAATATTTTTTAAGGCATTGAATTTATTTTGGTTAATTTTAATTTTTTTATAGTTGTATAGCATGAAAAAAATACTTACTTAGAATAAGTTAGTCAAGTGATTTTCCTAGTTTCTCTGTTGTCCAATTTTAATTTTCCTTCAGAAATTGCAATGATTTAGGACTGTTTTTCTTTTTCTTATATATAGCACCTTAGTGATAGTAGTTGCTAAAAAGATTTTAAATATATTCTTTTGAGATTTTAATCAAATCTTAAAGCAACAGGTATGAGTTAAATTTATTTAACAAATATGTTAGACTTCTAAAAATTTTTGTTGAATATTTTTTTTCCTTATATTTTATTTAGGAGAAAAATGTTTACATGGGTCTTCTCGGTCATCTACAAAAGAATGACCTGCTTCCGGCCGTCTGTTTCACATTTTCCAGAAAGAAGTGCAACTCTCATGCTGAGATGCTCCAAAGCAAAGATCTAACTACACAGAAAGAGAAAGACAAAATCAATAAGTTTTTTCGTGACAGCATTTCAAAGCTCAAAGAGGAGGACCAAAATCTACCACAGGTAATTATAGGCTTTGAGATACTTAGCTCAGTTGTTAAATGCACTGAGCTGCTATTAGGAAAGATTAGGGTTGGTTATTCAGTGGCGACTTGATGCCCATCTAGCTTCAGGTGGATGAATAAGAACTTATCTGGGTAGAAGAGACAGAATTATGACCAATGCTGACCACATAGCCACAACCATGCTGTTGACCACGAAATTGCAGAGCCTTAATTTCCATAACATGCAATAGACTGTTGCAGGAATGCTTTCTTTTAATAATTGAGTTTATTGGAATTCTGTTTTCTGTTAAACTACATTTAACTGCTACCAGATTTGGTACCATTGAAATATTCATATGGTTGGATCCTTGATGAAATATTATTAACTGAAAGATGTTATTTTGCTAATAGCATATTGAATTAATGACTGCAACTAATGATGAAATTTTACCATTGCACGTGTGTATTTGCTTTAGAAATGCAAATATTTAAAATATAATTTACTTATTTGTAAAATAAAATTTGTTAAAATTTTAGATATTTTTTTTTATTTACAAGATAAAATCAATCACATTTTTAAAGGTTATGTTGTCAAAAATAAATGATTTAATAAAACAATTGTTGCTCCACAAGGAATTAAATCCCATGACTGACTACAGTTAAAGAGCTTAGGAAAAAGTGACTTTTTAAAACACTCATAATTTTGAGTTTAATAATATTATTATAGTCAGATATAAATCTATAATGTTTGGGAAAATCCATGATCAATAAAGCTTAGTGAGGTAAAAAAGCTAGTGAGCTATAAATATAACTTATTTTAGCTAAGTCTTTAAAAATTAGTAAAATGTTTAATTAATAGCCTTCTGCTGTTGCCTTATGTCTTTTTGTTGTTTATTGTGATGGGCTTTAATTACAAAAAATTGTTACAATTGTAATGCATTATATACTAGTTAATATTAATTGCATAAAAATCTATTACTTATGGTCTTGGTTACAGATCATCATAATTTATTGTGACCTACTGTTTGTGAAATTCACACATAATTGTGATTATAAATTATGATATGATTCTTGATTTCATCTAATCTTGATTTCATCTAATCTTGATTAAATACTATCCCTCATCTTCAATTTTATAAACTGTTTCAAAAACATTTTTTTTTTAATTTTTTAAAACTGCTGATTTCAATTTCAGGTGAGGTCTATGGGTATGCAACTAGAGCGAGGAGTTGGCATTCATCACAGTGGAATTCTACCAATTTTAAAAGAAGTCGTAGAAATGCTATTTCAAAAAGGATTGTTAAAAGTAACTCATTTCGCTTTGTTATCAAAAATTTATTAATTAATTTTATAAGGTGTTCTAAAGGCTTTTCCAAACAAAATCCAAACACTTATAAGATGATACTCAAAAATTTTCTGAAGTTACATCAAAAATACTGAAACCCTCTCATTGAAAACAGAAAATTACTCACCTATTTTCTAAACTGCTATCGTGTACAAGCTCAAGTATTTTGTTTAAAGTTTTTTCTTTAAAAATCCGATTTTCTCAATATTTTTCTTACTTGGCGTAAAAGATTCTAATAAACCACATAAGTTGAAACTTGGTGATCAGTTTGACTATAGCATGCCGCTTAAATTCAAACTAGCACTTGATTATTAGTAAATATTTTATATATTTTTTATCATAATAATTTTTTTAGAAAACGAAAAAAGGAAGGTTTTTTTTTATTTAAATAATAATTTTCATATTTCGATTTTTTAGCTAACATAGCTTTGGAAAGTGCATGTTTGGCTAGCTATTAAAAGTTGTCTTGAGTCATTAGCATGATTTGTATGACTTCTAACATGCATGCTTTACGTCCAGTTACCCAGAATTCAAATTAATAAAGTTTGAATTTATAAAGTTATTAAATTTATAAAGTGCTATAATTATAACTAGATACAATGTCTATGCCACCCCATGCTCTCACATTTTTTATATTGCTATAGTTTTTTTAATTAGATAAATTCTAATTATCTGTAATATTGTTTCAAAGGTGTTATTTGCCACGGAAACATTTGCCATGGGAGTTAACATGCCTGCAAGAACTGTGGTTTTTGATTCAATTAGAAAACACGATGGATTCAATTTCCGTGATCTGGAATCTTCTGAATACATCCAGATGGCCGGACGTGCTGGACGCAGAGGCCTAGATGACACTGGAACTGTTATAGTTCTTTGCAAAGCTGATGTCCCCGAGTCTAGTTCGCTTCATACTATGATGCTTGCAAGTTCTTCAATTTGTATCTATTTACTAAACATAATTTGTTGCAGTTTTTCATAAGTGTTATCCCTAATTTTTAATCTTCTTGAACTTATTTTCATATAATTTGTTTTAAATGTTTAGAATCTAAAAGCCTGACTCTCTTTCTCTCTTTCATAAATATCTAATGAGCTTGGAGTGTAAAGCTTTCCTAACTGTATTTTATTACAGGAGTATCAGAAGATATTCAAAAGTTTAGTAAATTATAACAAAAATTAGCAGAACCAATTTAGCAGCATAAAACCCGATTTTAATCTACTCTGATGATCTCAAATTTTTTTTGTATCGAATTCAAAAGTATCTGAAAATTCATAACACCCCATCCTTGATAGCAGAATGATTTTATTCCAAAAACAAAGAAAACATCTTCCAAAATAGTAAAAATTGGTATTTTTGCTATTTTATTTGCATTTTTTCAGCCAAGTAAATGCAACGGTCCTTTTCAATGTTTATTAATTTAATAAAAATTTATCCTACTTCTCTGTTAGCATTAGTTTTTGCATAAACATATACAGTGTGACCCTTTAGGAGCAACCACTCTCCGTTCCACAGTAAAATGGTAATTATCGAAGGTACATGATTTTTCGCGAACGATTTTAATTTTAGCCAGTGTCATTTTCTTGGTGCAGAAATGCCACTTATCTTAGCATCATGAAAACCAGATCGATGAATGAAATTTAGTAACACTAAAAATGGCACTTACTGAGATAATTATGAGTAAAAACAAATTAACCAAGTATAAATGATAAAACTATTTTAAATAAATAAACATTTATGTTTTTGTTTAATGTTACATTTAATGACATATCGTAAAAATCAGTTAACTTTAAAAAAGAAACATTGTTTGTTTTATTCACTGTACATAAGCTGCAAGTATATAGGACTCATCTTATAAAATAATCATAATTGGCATTGTATATATGTATGTCTATATATATATANTCCTTGTGTATCCATGCAAGTTTTCTTGCTAAATTTTTGTCATGACGCATAATCAGATTTAGAAATATTCATTTGATTTTTGATACATTGTAAGTTATTAATTTTATAAATGTGTAATGAATGTTCATAAATAATTTTGCATGCAATAAAAAGCATTTTAGTTATTGTGTAAGTATCATATAATGTAATCAATAAATATTTTTATTTTAAATTGTTTTTTATTACACAATAACTAAAAAGCATTTTAGTTATTGTGTAAGTATCATATAATGTAATCAATAAATATTTTTATTTTAAATGGTTTTTTATTTAACAGGGAAAACCAGCAAAACTCAAATCACAATTCAAGTTAACTTATACCATGATTCTGAACTTGCTGAAAATAAAAACTTTCCGTGTTGAAGATGTTATTAAACGTTCCTTTGGTGAGTCAGACAATGAGAAGCAGCGAAAGTTATACAAAGAAATGTTGAATGAAGCTAGGAATAAGCTTCTGACAACTAAAAAAACAGACTGTTCTGTGTGCAACATTGACCTGTCCGAATACATTTTAGCAATCAGACAACTCAAGCCAATGAAGCAAGAAATCATGGTTAGTATATTACATTATTATGAATGATTCATTTTTGCACTAAACTAGACAACTTTTTAAATTTTTACCTTATTATTTCCATTTTGTACTAGCTGTCTGTTAAAATAACTTTCATTTTAATAATTTTTTTAAATAAACAACTAATTTTATAAGCAAGCTGTTGAATCTTTTAAAAGATATGTGAAATTTAAAAATTGAGTTATATAAAAGAACTTGCATATTAAATGTTTAATTAAGTACCGTTGAGGTGCAGAACCATTTTTGGAGGGGGCATAGAAACAAATTTATTTCTAGGACAAATGTCACCATATTTGAAATTAGCCTGCCTAGTTTGTAGCTGTCTTGATATTTCTGATTTTCTTGATTAAAAATTATTTATTATTTGTACTGATCTACTAATTTTTAGCTTTTTGCCCAATATTCCTCATTTTTGTGCGTGTTTAAAGGATCCTATTTTCTTAAAATACAAAAATGAAAGATGTAATAATTTGGAGTTTCGGTCCGACCTCTTTTTTTATCAATACTCTTTCTAAAAGCACAAAATTATTGACTATCCACAAATGATATACACGGTTCAGACGTTATAGTCTTTTTTGTTGGAAATTCGTTGTTTCGAACTTTTAGGTGGTTGGGGATTAGTTGTTTTTTTTTAATTCAGTTATTTTAAGAGAAAGAAACTCAATTAACAATTTTATGTTATTAAATTTTTATGGTGATGAATATAATGGGACATAGACCCTAGGCTTGTTTATTATTTTGAAGAAATGTGTGGAGTCTTGTTATATTACTTTGTGAGTGAAGTCTTGCAGCTTTACAATTATAATTTTACAACTATCATCTCTATCATCCGACTTTAAAAATAATTTATTCCGACAATAATACAGCAATCAGAAACAACTTCTAAGTGATGAATTGAGAGATCATCATCCTCATCATATTTACCTAGGCAGCCCCAAAGTGATTCTGTGCAATCTTCTGAATTCTGCTCTACTGCCTCAACCACTGGATCACTTTTGTAGAAAAATTATAAGTGGCATATTTACAAAGTTTTTGTTTAGACGAAAAACAAAGAATGATAATTTGCAAAAAATATTTAAAAACGTCTTTGAAATCTATAAAAAGTAATGAAGAAATAAATGGACTTTAAAATAAATGATAGCGAAAATAATTTTAACTAAAACAATTATGTATGTAATGAAAAAATATTTATTAATTATGGATGTGAATATTAATATTATAAATGTGAAAGAAAAGGGAATAAACGCATATATATATTTTTTAAATGTTTAGAAATTTTGCTTTATATTGCAATTTACACACTTTTTTCTTCTAAGTGCAAGATGATAAATTTTCAACATTTGTAACAGTATATTCATGTGAATGCAAGAATTTCTACATTGTTATTTAACATTAAATAAATGATTTATTATAAATTATTTATTTATACTAAACCTGTGTTCTCATTAATCAGGACTCGTAAAAAATAATCTTAACTGTGCTTTTAAAATTGGTTTTTATATAATTTTGTAAAAATACATCAAGCTTTCAACACATGTTTTAAGTTTTGTGTTATTTCTATTTATTCCAAGCATAATGTCCTTTTGTTATAACTCATGGCTTCATCAAAACAGCAAGAATATTGTGTGGTAAGTTTAAAATGAATATTCGAACTAGTTATTAATTTTAAAAAAATTATTTCAAATTATAATATTGTGAAACTCACTAAGTTAACCATCTCTGTATGATGATCAGCTTTCTAAATATGTTTTAATGATCAAGTACTAAACTGGTATAAACTATTCAATTTCCCCTTTAAAAGTTAACCACTTGTCTTAGTGGCGCTTCGAATTTGTGTCCCACAAGTGCTTTTTAAGTTTTTTTTAAATGGTTTAACATGTTAGGTAAACCAGTTAAGTTAACCACCTCTGCATATAGATCATCTGTCTAAGTTGGGTTTTATGATCAAGCACTAAACTAACCCAAACAATTATATGTCATCTTCATAAGTTGACTACTTATCTAAATGGACCATTAAATGGTCAACTTACATTTGTTTTATTATTTGACATTGAATAGATCTGAATTGCGATTGTTTTTCAGGTTCAAAAATGTGGTATTGCTCTCTCCAGTCGATTATTAGTGTCAGGCAGGATTCTTGTGATATCTACAGCTTGCCAACAAAACATTTTGTGCACATTACTAAATTTAGACAAAGATAACAAGTGTAAAGTGCTGGCAATCGGTGAAAAGGAAAAGTCTCTGAGTTCCAATGAAGCTTCACATAAAATACAGCCCTGGACTAAGCAGTTATTTTACCCTAGCAATAAACAACCTGAAATTTTAACTGTGACATTTAATGAAATTCAAGTTATCTGTAATAAGTCACTCAGGATTGACGAGGCTGCAATTGTTAGGGATTGGAAAAGAATGGAAGCAATGTAAGTTTTAAGATTTTTTAAAAATATTTTTTCATGTAAATAAAGAGATGAATATTTAAATGAATGTAACAGTTATACAGTAATGTTTGTAATGTAACTAAGTTTAGAAATGACTATTTCATTCATCGTAACAGCTATATTAGGGTAAAGCTATTTTTATGACCATATGATTTGAAATGTATATAAAGTTAGAGATAAATATTTAAGTCAAGGTGACAATTATATTAGGACAACACTATTTTTGACACAGTTGCTAAAATAATGTTAATGGTGAAATATAGTTTTAAAATTGCAATATTAATGTGCAATTTTTTTAAAAAGAATTCTTGTTTTAAGTGCAAGCCAGTTTTTACTGTTGTTCTGTTCATTTAATACTATCTACATTTAATTCGTATAATTTTGCATGCATTGAAGCTTAGTCAGAAGATTGTATTCATAAACTGTATTGGCTATTGAAAGGAGCTCATATTGATAAGCATTTAAAATTAAATTACAATTACTACTTTTTAACATTTTAAAAATTGTTTTTCTTATGCTTATTCTTTTATTTCTTTCATTTAATATACAGTATGCTCTTGAATATCTGGCTTGAAACTATGAAACATAATAAAAAAACCAGCCATTTGTAAAGTTTAACTTGAAAAAAATGAGAAATGCTATAACAGTCAGTGGCTAGTTATAGCATTTTAAGCACATGTGGCTACTTTTGCAAAAATTTAAATTTTAAACAATTAAAAAAAACCTGTTGATATTAATAAAGTAAGACATTTCTTTTAAAACATTTCTCAAGATATGATAAACATTTCGTGGTTCATTTCTAAAATTAAGAAAAAATTTTAAAAAACAAATGTGAAATAAAATAATGTTTGGAATATTATAAAATATTTATTATAATTTCATATTTATTAAAAAAGTAACAATAAAATGCACATGAATTGATGGTTAAAAAAATGAAGATTGTTTGACAACTGGCAGACTACATTTCAATTGTCATTTATTATATTTAGTCGCTATATTAACATAGTTTATTAATAATAATTAATGAACTGTTTTCTTTAAATAATTATCTTATGTGTAACATGAAGTAGGAATTGGAACTCCATCCCATCTTGATTTTTTGTTAACCAGCTGACTCTTCCACCACTGACCAGACACTTCTTTAACATTAGAATATATAGTTAGGAGCCTTCTATATTTTAAAATTCTGTTGAAAATTAGTTATATTAAATTAATTGTGATAACTACCAAATAGCATTTATTTTTTTTTTTTTTTGGATACTTTCACAGTAAATTATTAATGTTCATTATTTCTTTTCTTATTTCATACATTTAAAAATAATTCCTAAGTCTAGTGCACTTATGTGACTTACAATATATACTATAAAAATAACTTATACTCCGTATCGTTGTTTTTAATTATATTCTTAGTTATTGTTATAAAAACGTTGGTTAATAAATTTAAACATATTTTAAGTTTTGCGTGCTTTAATTATTTAAGTATTTTTATTTTAATAATTATTTTATGTCTTTGTTGCCAAAAAAATTCCTAAGTCTGGTGCACTAATGTGACTTGCAATATATACCATAAAAGTAACTTATATTCTGTATATATATTTTTAATTCTATTCTTAGTTAAATTTATTAAATAATTGAAATGTACGTTAATAAATTTAATCATATTTTAAGTTTTGTGTGCTTAAATCATTTAAGTATTTTTATTTTAATAATTATTTTATGTGCTTGTTGCCTTGATAAAGTTGGATGCTATGAAAATCACTACTACTTTGAAAATCACTAATTTTAAAGTTCTCTTTTAACTAACTCTTCTTAACTTTAATTTTTAAGTTCTCTTTTAACTAACTCTTTTTAACTCCAACTTTTAAGTCTCTTTTAACATTTCATTCTCTACTCTTTCTTGTCTTTAGGTTGAATTTTTTTACTAACTCCAAAACTGGGGAGAAGAATTTGTTTATAAAGTAATACTTTGTGTTTTATAATATGTAAGATGTGTAAAACATTAAGTAAGACATAAGAGAAATATTTTTATCTTTAAAAAAATATTTTTCTTCTATTTTTTGAGATACTCTTCTTAAAACACCGTCTACCAACAAAGTGTTTTGTACATTCAAACATAATATATCCAATCTTGTTATCAGTAACTCAAAACTAATTCAGTTACTCAAAAAACAATAAAAAATTAAACTTATTACATATTCACCAAACTATTCATTTGCTAGAACGAAATTCAGTAACATTGTCAATTGTTCTAGAATCATTTCATATGTTATGGGCCATTCCTAAGCTCATATAAATTGGCTTGATACTGAAAAATGTGTAAATAAGTTTGCAAAGAACAATATTGTTAACCTTTTTCTACAATAATTTTATGACGAACCACGATGGCTCAGGGGATAGAGCGTTTGCCTTTCTATGAGGTGAACCAGACTTGAATCCCAGCCATTGTTGGTTGATACAAAAATCTGCATCCAGCTTTCGCTAACCACAGTGCAGCCGAAAAATATCCTCAGTGTTAGGCGGATCATGGGGGCCAACCGTGGGAGGTTAATTCCATCAAAAAGTCCTCCACAAAGGCAAATTTCTCCTAATACTTGATCCAAGAGTCCTCTTGTCTTCAGGATTGGGTTCAAAATTACAAGGCTACTGAGTTAAACATTAGTAATCGTAAACCCTAAATTGGGCCGGCGGTTATAAAATAAAATAATTTTATGCAACTTTACCTACCACAGCGTGGGCGGGTTTCGACTGAGTGCTCTAATTGCTGTCTGGTCATATTGCACTTTCTCCGTCCATATCTTACTGATTTGGAATTCGCTCTAATGTAATGTCCTTGGCAGTTTCAGAGCCAGAAAAGACTATCCATGCACAGTTGTGAGCATGGAACTAAGACCGCGAGATAAGATTACAAAACAACAAATGTCCAGTACTATTCCTTTAATTCCAAACTACCTTCCAATGAAAAGTACTTTATTGCCTTTCTTCCCATGGTATTCTCTTGACATTTGTGTGCAATTTATAACCAAGCCGGGCAAATTAAAAATGATCCCAACTGCTGAAGAAAATTATCAAAATTATTTTAAAAATAAATAAACACAAAGTGGGAAAAACTCAAAGTGCAGAAATGCATTGTGTTATTAGGAAGCTTACATTTTAATTTTGATTTCCAAATTCTTTAACTAAAATTAATTCTATCCGCTTCATCTGTTTCACAAAAAATGCAGACGTGCATCCACTTACTTTTCCCAACCTCAAAAGATATGGAAAAATCTTTCGTAGAATTGAAGGTCTAACGTGGCATGCTTGTTATTTTATAATTTTTCACCAGGTGATGATTACCAACATCTGCTCTAAAACCTAAATAGTGGTAATGTAATGTGGACCTTTACCAGATGGTAGTTGAAGCATTGTATTTTACCTGGAGTTAGAGCTCTAAATTTTTTTCTATGCTGCAGGGCTCGTTTAGTTTTATAATAATAATCTTTTTTTTTTCTGTCTTTGAAAATATTTAGGCTTAAACTAAATTCATCTATATAGATTTTTGGTGCTTCGATTACAACTTTTTACTTTTATTTTAATACAGACAATTATTTAATTTTATTTTAAATTAGGTTAGATAATATATATTTTAATTTATAATGATTGACATGCCAATCATAATATTATCTAAAATTCATTTTTATAATTAAAATACTATTTTCCTTTTAATATTTAGTGCTTCTTTTTTTAAAAAAAAATTTCGAATTATCTGAAACCCAAAATTGAGCATAAATATTTAGATTATTAGGCTTGACTTTTTAAATATTTAGACTGTTTTTGAAACTGGAGCATCAAAACATTTTTGACTCAGAGTCCTTTTCACCAGTATTTCTTTGGGTCATTATTAAGTGTGAATTCCAGGCCATCAATATTAGTCATTAACAACCAAGCAGTGTTTTAGAAAACAGAAAAAGAAAAACTGAATTTACTGTTATTACTGTTTTAATTACTGTTAAAAACTTTTTTTTAAAGTATGTAAATCTTACATATTTGTTTTTAAAAAAAAGTTTTTTTAAGTTATTTTTGTTTTTTAAAAAAAAATTATTTTTGTTCAGGAATACAAGCCCAGGAAGGGCTATCAGTGAAGCATTTCAAGAGCTGTGTTCATTATGTGAATCTCATATGAAAGGTTTACCTTCTGCCAATATAGTACTAAAAGACATTAATTTCGCTAGTAAAATACGTTCTGTAGAAAACATAGAAAAATCTCTGGAATCTTATACTTGCGTGAAATGCCCAGAATTTTTGAAGCATGTAAGTACATATATTGATTTTCTCAGAATATTTGTTGCTGTTTTGCCTTGATAAACACAGTTTTTTTTCATCTCAGTTTGAAGAGCTATCATCATATAAGCAGATGGAGGAAGATATTAAAGAATATTCCTATAAATTGTCAGAAGAAAGCCTTACATTCCATCCAGAGTATCAGATGCGTAAAAATGTAATTATATGTCTCTATATTTCCAGTTTATATTCTGTTATTAGCATATTATATAAGTTAAAATAAAGACTCTGATTAGAACATTGGTCTTATAAACCAGACGCCTTGAATTCACTTTTACTGGCATCCCTAATATTACTATTGATAAGTGTTTGTTACATTAACAAAATTGACTTATCTGTAGTTTCATGCTGCTTAAAAATATGATTTATTTGAAGGTATTACTGATTATAAATTCCATAATCTGCGACTGTAATTTCAAACAATTTATTTTAAAAGATAAAAATTTTAAATCACTTTTGATTTCATGTTGTTTCTCGATTTCCTACAAAAATTGAAACTGAAACTTACTATTTAATTTTTTTTAAATGAAGGAATAAGTTTTTCATTAAAACCTATTGAAGCGCTTACTATTAACACAAATTTTTATAAGCGGAACAGACTCCAAAAATTTTAACTAATTTTTAAAAAACTTTTTTTTTTTTTTTAATCATATTTTTGTCTAAGAGACTACTCTAGACACACAAATTTGTCCAGTAGCAGTGAAAGATTNTAAATGAAACATTTATTCAGACACTTGATAGCTGATCAATTGTGAATAATCAACTCAATAGATCCTCATGACTTACAGGTATGCATTACCTTTTTTTTTGTGAATCGTGGGAGGTTTTTTTTCAAGAAGGTATTAACCATGTTCCCTATCAAATGATAAGTAGGTGTAAGGGGATGTAAACCTAATAATTGAAATGAACTGAGGACAGAAAGCTCCTATTTGGTATCATATGTCTAACTTGAGTATCTATGCTAATAGGAAAATTATATTTATTTATCTGTAGCTACATCCAGAATTATGTATTTATATCAAACTTCTTTATATATTCTTTTTTATCTTTCTTATAGTTTAAATAAATATTCTTGTAGATATTTATAGTATCCTTATAGATATTATTTAATTATTTCTACATCTTTAAAAATATTCTAAAAACAATTTACAGTGTTAAATTTCGTTATTAGGGTACCCTTCCCGTAAACGGACAACTCTCATAAACGGACAAATTTTTTGGTCCCATGAATTTCCGCTTCACAGAGTTTTCACTGTATTAAGAATTTCAAATCCTAATAATTGATTTTTATTATATTATTATATTGATTTGTAATTATTTATAGATATTTATTATATTTATTGATTTGTTAAAATTAAAAAGATATTAAACTTTAAAATTTTCTGTTTGGATCGGAACCTGACAGAAATGACCTTCTGATAGGTTTATTAAGCCAAACCTATACAAGTACGTAGGTATTTTATAAAAAGACACAAAACTAAATTCAAAGATATCTTTATTTTACTCGAACTGAATTATTCATTGAAAAATAGGACAATTTTGAAATTAGAACAACAACAAAAATAATAATGATAATAACTCAAATAAAGCACAAATGAAAGTACATATTCTTTTGTTTTTATTCACTTTCTACTGTTCCCTTTTGAAATTTCACACTGTAACTTATGCTGTATTACTATGCCTAATTTGATATTTTGTTATTTTAATCAATTTAATCTGTTCACAAAACACTGTATAAATTGTGTTGAAAGTATGTGAATTAAATAAAAACTAGTGTAAACTTAATAAAATTTAACTTGGTTATGATTTCTTTTATGTTTTCAAAATTAATTATTTTATTGATTATTGTATTTATTATTAAAAATCAAATTAAAAAACTTTTGCAATGTTTATTTATTTAAAAATTAAGTTTGGTTTTTATTTCACTATTTTATTTTATGTCCTAATAGTGTTTAATGAATTGAGGTTAAGGGTATTTATCAGTTATATGAACCATATGTTGGAGTCTGCTTTTTCTGAGTTGTTGCCAGCACAAACATTGGTTGCATAATCGATAAGAAATTTCGTTGTCACAAAGTATTATCAAAAATATTAATATTTAAAAATATATCATGATATTTTTGCAATTAAGCTAATTTATATTATTTTTACGTGGTCAATATTTTCATTATTCAAATAAAATTTATCAACACTCAAAATAATAACACATTCAAAATTTATTGTTATGCATAATTGCAATATTATCTAATTGATATGTTATCAAGAATGATTGCGATATTATCAAATTTAATAATTATAGTTATTAATGAAGATCATGATATTATCATATTCAGTATGTATTGTTATAGTTTATTATCCTTCGGGTATTGTATTTGATACACCTATCTGTACTACTGTTAGCTCGTGACCTGTGTAACCAGAATTTGGCGCTGTACTCACACATTGGCAAACTTAACTTAATGGTTCCTATAATCGATGAATACCAGTTTTGATTTTACTTTTTTTCAGCATTTTGACATAATTTTATTTAATACTGAAAGAAGTGTGTTTTTTCTTTAGGTACTTAGGGTGTTAGGTTATATTGACAATGAAGAAAATGTCCAACTAAAAGGTTCTGTGGCCCGAGAAATGAGTAATCATGAACTACTTATTACAGAGCTTCTAGTCAAATCCATCTTTAGTGATTGTACTCCTGGTGAGGTCGCTGCTCTTTTATCCTGTATGGTTTTCCAACAAAAATGTGATGACACCAAATTAGAACTGCCAAGTCACTTAAAAAAAGTATGCAATTCAAAAGAAATTTTTATGTTTTGTGTTTTCTTTTAACTTGATTACATTCTATTGTAATATGTTACAAAGACATGCAGGAGTGTCAACTATTACGATTTTTCCGCAATTTTTACGATTTCGTACTCAAGATTATGGTGTTACGGTTGCGTAATAAAAATTTATGATTATCAGGAATTTTTGTAATAATCTTTTCAAAATAAGTTTTTTTTTCTACCAAGAGTTTTCTCTACCAAGAAAATTTTGTTCTTTGTAGTGAATATTAAAAAAAAGGTAACACTTCACTTAAATGTTTATTTTTTTTATTTCATTGTAAATTCATGCATAATATTATTAATATTAGGCATATAGTTATACTAGTATTGAGTTGAATAATAAGACACTTTAAGTTGAAAAGTATTGAAATTGCGCTAATAAAATTTAAATTTGTTAACATATGTATTATTGTACTTTTGATCATGGATTGTTGGAAAGTTGACATCTCTGGCGATGTGATTCTATTTATAAGCAAAATTTGCTTCAAACTTGGTTCAGGTCAAAATTACGATCAGCGGATGAAGGAATGGGTCCGCCCTATAAGCGGGTGTCACATATGGATGTAGCAGAAGTCTAATTCTTGGCCATAGATGTCGCCACTAGAAAACGAGCAATCGCACTCCGTCTGCGTTAATGGCCGATGACAATAAAGACACTACAGAACGTTTCTGGTAGGGACAGAAAATATTAAGTTCAATAAAGATAAATAAATTTAATTTAATCAATTCTTTTTAATGAGTTGAATTTTTTCATTTTCAAAAGAAACCTGTATTTTACAGCTTCTGTCGGTTTAGAAATAAGGTGGACATATTTATTCATTTATTTGTAAGGTAGAATTTAGGCAATATTTTCAGTATTTTCTCAAACTTATACATGATTTCTTTAAACAATTGAAAGAAATGTGTTATTGTTTGGAGAGTAAATATGTAACTAGTAGAATATCAATTAAGTGTTTCAGTTTGAAAAGTAATAATTACTATGGAAAAAAAAATGTCTTATTGCGTAAAGCTACAAGAAAACTTCATGGCTGCCAAAATATCGTATTAATGTAGGTTAAAATACCTTTATTATTGTTATTATAATTAACTTCTCAAAGGTATAATGACCCTCTTATTCCTTAAAATTAATAGATTTTTTTAAGCTGCCTTTCTCTTTAAATTATTTCCTTTTTAATTTTATTGTTACTATAAGTAAAGAGAGAATTGTTCCAAGAATTAAGTAATTGTTTTTTAATTAATTTTCTGCAGTTTTAATGGATAAAATACTTGTTTCATTTGTTAAAATAATTAATTAAATATTTAATCACTATTATTATTTTGTAATTTCCCTTAGAAAGTTGAAGATATAAGATTCGTCGCTGGGGAAATTGCTACTGAGCAGGCTCGAAATGGAATAAGTGATCCTAATTTTGTATCTCAGTACAATTTCTATCTAGCAGAAGTTGTTTATGAATGGGCAAAAGGAACTGTAAGTATTAATGCTTTTATCCTCATAATTTTAATATAAGCTTAAAAAATATTGTATATAATATTGATATATATGTTTGTATATCTATATATAATACTATATAAAAAGCTTTAACAAATATTTTTATATTATTTATTACTTGCCTAAATTCTCTATGTTAATTCATTATTAAAAACTAAAGCCATTCACCTAATTAATAATTCGCATCCTCTTCTAAAAATAGATTAAAGAGTACAGTAATTATCATTTTAAATTTTTCCCTCAACTGAGAATAAAAACCAGAGAAAATTGTCTACCTATTGTCTGAACGAATTACAATTAATATTATTTCCCTTTTTTCATATCAGTAGGGGAATGATGGGGAATACTTGCAAAACTTTTCCCTAACATTAAATAGTGGAACACAGTGGTTTTAATGTGATTTTGATTCTCGCTCTCTTAATAATGATGATAAAATAAAGGGCGTTGTGCTTTCATACGCCTATTCGTTGCTCGGTCAGACTGGTGTATGTATATATTCTTTTTTTTCTTTGCTTCTTTTCTTGTTAATGTGTTGCATAATTTGCAATCAATAAGCAACAAAATAATTATCTCTGCATAAAAATTAATTCTCTTACTTTGAAAATTAATTATCTCAAATAGAAATTATTTTTCTAAGGATTAACGAGTACCATTCATTCTTTTTTATTTGCTTTTTTTCTTGTTAATGCTGAGCATTATTTGCAATCAATAAGAAACGAAGAGAATTGTCTTTAAAAAATCAATGAGGAACTAAGATAATTATTTCACCATAATAATTAATTTATCTCAAATAGAAATTAGTTTTCTTAGGATTAATAAGTACCATCCATTCTATTTCCTTTCCTTCTTTTCTTGTTAATGTTAGTGTAGCATTATTTACAATCAATAACGAACTAAGATATCTCAGAAATATACCACGTATTATATTCCCCTGGAATAGTGCACCCTACCAAAGGAATTAATTTTAGGTCCCATATGGGGTACACAATGTGAACCTACAGTTTACTATGTATGTATAACTAAAATAGTGTTCTTAGAAGCTTAAAATGAAGAAATTCGTCGTGTCAAAATAAATAACAATAAATTCAATGTGCCATTTTATTTATTGTTATTTATTTTGTATAAGTATTGAAAAACATATGCATATAAATGGTCTTTTGAATTCTTATGTTATGTTATCGAACATATATTTTATTAAACCTTCACTAAATATAAAAAAATAAATTTTTATTAAAAATAATTTAAAATTTATCGACGTACTTGTGCATTTTATTTCATTATCTTGAAATTGTTGGTCGAAATTTTAAATGAAGATAAATTTTATTGATTCTTTTATTGTAAAATAGTCCTTTTAATTTTTGTAACAAGCCTCTTCATATAGACTCTCTAAATACCTTTTTTTAACAAAAAACAGTTTTAAAGTTAATTTATTTCAGATAAGTACAGATTGTTATGTGTCTTTTAAAATTGATAATACCTTTCGAAACAAGAAAGACAAAGCTTTGTAAATGTTACTCTTTCAAAATCATTTTGCTTTCATAAGTTTATATATGTATTCTCTTTGTATTAATTAATTTAGAAGGTTCTGTAGTTTTCACTGTGATAAAACTTTAAAAAGAAAAACTTCTTTTTTTACATATTTTTATGTGCTCATTGAACTATTATTGTCAGTAATTAATGCCAGAATATATTAATTATTTTTCCAAATTTTTATACTTTATTTGATAATTATTAGAATGATTATTTTCAAATTTATTTTATGTTTTTTCAAGCTTCTTAAAAAAAGTTCATAAGACTAATAACAGATTGCATAAAAACAAAACCTTAATATCTTTTTATCGAATTATTGGATTGCCTCATGTTAAAATGCAATTTTTATAGACTGAGTGACGGCTAACTTTTAAAATGCTAATTAATTTGTGCAGATGATATTTTAAGTTATAAAACCGGATGATGTATGCTTTTCTGGATAAACATGGATTTTCTTTCTTTCTTTCTTATGCACTCTACATCTATGTAAAAAAGAAGGAAGAATTCATGTTTTCTTTTTAAAATATGTTATACAAATTATATCTTAAATGTTAATTTCTTTTTCAAAGGTATTTGCAAAAATAATGGAAAAAACAGACATAGATGAAGGTATAATTGTTCGCAGTATACAGAGGTTGAGTGAATTATTAAAGGATGTTAGAAATGGTGCATCTCTTGTGGGTGATACAGTACTTGCCAAAAAGATGGAAGATGCATCGCGTGAAATCAAGAGAGACATAGTTTTTGCGGCTAGTTTATATACACAATAATGTATTTTTGTACATTGAAAATAAATATTTATTAAATGTTTTACAATTTATATGGTCAATTTTTAAGACAATGCAACTTATATTAAAATTATAATTAGGAAAATTATTTGCAATTGTACTCAACCCCTGAAAGGTTCAAAAAAAAACTGTCATTAAGTGTTGATTTATATTGAGAAAAAACTCAATAAAAACTAGTGCATGAAAGACAAAGGCAGTTCCCCTCGACTAAAAGCTCTAAGGAGGCCCCAAAAAATTTTATGTTTTGTTGTAAATAAAACTTACTAAAATTATGCCAAACTTTGTGATTTATTAGAAAAATAATTAGATTAAAAAAAAATTACTTTCTTAACAAATTTCCTTTTAAATTTTCATGAACATTGAAGTGATAAGTTTGAACTCCGACCCGGGTTCCAATTATAGAGGTCGATTATAATAGAGCATAAACATCACAATGAGTTTTGTCCTTATAATGAAACCATGTGACTGTAGGGTGAAAGAGTATTTTCAATCTTCCGTTTCATCTTGCTATTTAAAAGAAATATATTAGATAATGAAATTTTAAAGCCAAAAATCTTAAAATAGGGTGGTTTATTGCGGCGCATTTAATTGCACTGAAAACTGTGTTAAAGGAAGACTTTATAAATTTCATAGATAAGTTAATTAATTACTTTTTGCAATTAAAATTGTTATATTTATTATATGAATGAACTTTTAGTATGTTCTTCGCTTCCTTAAAACATCATATTAATCCCGACTTTTTCATTTTATTCTTCTGTAGTCCAAATTTATGCCTATAAATCTGTCTTACAAGTAAATATGAAAAATAAGAATTCTAACCATAAATTAATGATTATATGCAATAATTCATTCTTAATATATAATTCATTTTAATTTCAGTGCTAAAATGTAGTACGTGAAGTTTTGATCACATAGCTCTTTCTAATGTTTTTTAAAGGAAAAAATTCTTCCATATACACTAATTATTTTCAAAAAAAGCAACACCATGAAGGAATTGTCAGAAGAGAATGAAATTTATTCCACATATTACTGATAGTGGTACAAAAAACAATCAAAATTTATATAAAAAATGAAAAAAATCATTGGAAATCAATATTTTATCTGACCGCCGCGCTGAGCAATGAGAGCCTATACACAGAACCGAATAAATTCTGATTGTAATCGGGAACTGCATTCCATATGGCTTCTAATTGAAAATTCAGTCTTACTTTGTTCCCCACTGGTGAAAGCCTTGAGGTTTTTGTAGCCTAGCAATAAGGAGATCTTCGTTGCCTTTATAAGTACAAAACACAAATTTGCCAATAAGGGGAACTCATCTTAACTTCACCGAATGAGAGGGAGCACTTTAGAATGCAGGGCTGATTGTGCTCCGGAAAAAATCCGAATTTCCGGATTTTTCGCTAACAGTGATCCGGAGATCGAAGGTCCAGCTGTTAAAAAATCATTGATCACAGAAGTTTCCGGAAATCAAATTTTCAAAGGTGGAACTTAAAAACGCAGTTTAATTTATTTGTTTGTAAGGGAGAGCCAGAGAGATACTTTATAAGTATATATTCATGATTAATATTCATTTTTTATCAGTAAATAGTTGCTATAATCATAAACTCAAGAAAGAAAGACATATTTGTAAATTTTAATTATTTCTCCAGGCCATCATAGGTATGTGTAAATGGTACAGCTATGTGTAAAAATTTAAATGTATTTTAAGTAAACTAAGAAATATTGAGGAAAAGGAAGAAACCTTGTATTTAAACTTTTTTTTTTTTTTTTTTNTTTTAAAAAAAAAAAAAACTCAAGAGAATTTCCGGAAATCTGACTTGGGCTCGCAACCACCCCTGAGAATGGGAACGAAGAGAGATGAGAAAATATAACATCAGGCTTGCTCTATTTGTTTTACAGCTCTATATATGGTGCCAACACAGACTTTGCTACACCACTAATAACAGCAACAAAATTACTTTAAAAAGAATAAAACAATTAGTTTTCAACTCTGTCTCTGAAAATACTTTGATGTTTAATTAGCAATAAAATAACGTTAATTTTTTTTCCTTAATTAAAAATAAACTGCTATTTCGTTTACCTATTAATGCCTAGTCACATTTTTCTCGATGAAAATTCTTAAACGAAAACTTGTTTTATTTGAAGAAGTCGAAGAGATACAATACAAAAAGCTAAGAGAATCTACAATTATGTGAAATTTCAAGAATAAAGAAATTGTATTTTACCAAAATATTTTCGGTGTATAAAATTAATTAATAAAAAATTTGACAAAGTTAACGCTGTTCTTCTGTATTATATGCATTAATATTTAAGATATAAATTTTATCGAAATTTGAGCAATCATTGTTTAGGAACAGTTGTTAAATTTTTAGAATTAGTTTCATTCTCGGTTTTAATTTAAAGTAGCTTTTATTTATTTTTGTTTTCACCTAACTCAAATATTAAATTGCGAATTTCGATCTGTGTAAATTCGTGACAAGAAATCTGAAAATATGTAAATTAAGCTCTCTAAACTCTTCTTGGTCCTGGCTTTATTTCAAAAAATGCCTGTGGACAATGTTTTATTTGTATATTTTTAAAAATGTTCAGTGTGCAAAATAAAGATATCACCTTAAATAACACTTGCAGGAACGCTAAGGTTTTCGCAAACTAAGTGCCGATTTTATAATGTTTAAAAAACTTGACTTAAAATAGCCGTTTTAATTTGTGCTAACTATAAATTAAGTAGCTGAAATATGCACAAAAATTTAACTTTTTCTGAATAAGCATAGCTTTCTTTCAAAGGATTTAAATTTTTGATGATCAAAATATAGGCTTGGAGAGCGGTCGAAAGTTTGGACCCTTATATGTTAATTTCATTTCTTGCGAATTTCTGCATAATTCGGAGAATTTTTAAAACCGAATCGAAATTTTTTTTCAGAGAATTATAAAATTTATTTATTTGAAGATAAAACCCTGCAAAAAATAATATTGATAAATTTTTAATATTTTATTTAATAGGGCCGGGAAAATATTGAATCATAATGTAGACAATTTCTTTACACTTTTATAAACTAAGTCATTTGAGTACAAAATTTTAAAGAAATCGGTTGAATTGTTTAATATATTTATAAGAATTCTGTTTCTCAAGAACTATTTTTTTCAATTTCGTTCTATTTTTGTATTTTATTGTTGTTTAAAATCCCATAGTTTGGCGTAAAAAAATTTATCCCTTGCAATCTAAAAATTTTTCGATCCTTATTAAATAAAATACGTTGTTTTACGTGAAATTATCTCTGAATAAATTAAATTTATAATAAAGTGCAAAATTCTTCGATTCGCTTAAAAGTGCCCGAGATATGGTTAAAATCTTCAATTTTGGTTGAAGAATTGATCATTTCGTTACGAGTTTACTAAGATGGAAAGAAATGCCAGCATTGATGACATATAAGATCTTAATAGGGCAGAAGAAAAAGATTTTCTAGAATTTAATGAAGAGGGAAAATTAGAAGGAAAACAAAGAGATCTGGAGATTTTGAAAAATTCTGTTTCACTTAAACAAATTTCCGATTGCTTTAGAATTTTATTATCAGTTAACAACAATAATTATTACAAATTGTTCCTCGAAAAGGGCACTAAGATAAGTTAAACTTAGACAAAATAGTCTGTAACATTTTTGAGTATTGGTATTCTCACAGGGAAATGGTAAAAAAGCACTGAAAAACGGCCCAGAAAAAAAGCAACAAAAAATAAAATAGAAAAAAAACATGTGATGCAAAATTAAACCTGATTTAACTGCATATTATTGTTATTAATTAAGGTGCCCGATTCGGTAAAAATCGGCATTTTGTCTTTTTTTTTATTGTCTATATTTGAACTTTTGTTCATTACTTTTCTAAATCTCTTAAAAGTTTTGTTCTCTGATCTTTAGAACCGAAGTAATAGTTGTTTTTCCTCATATTTCAAAGGGATTTTCGGAGAAACTTTGATTTTGACAAAATCTCTTTACACTTACACGCATTACGGAAAAAATTTTACGGTAGAATTTTTCATATCGTACTGTGATTACGATAATCATATTAAAAGAGATAAATTTTAAATTTCTTTTGAGATTTTTTTTTTAAAGAAAATCTATATATTATTTCGAAACATTTTATCATTTTTGTAAACATTACCATCACTTAGACAGTTTTGCATTGCGATTTTAGCGGGATTCTCTTTTATTTCAGTATTTATTTTTTTCTATGATACTTTTTCCCAACGTTAATTTCATCTTCTTGAAATAATGATTTTCGAAATATTCTAGTTGTGAATCTTATTAAGATGTATTAGATATAGTTAAAAGATTGTAAATGTTGAAATTAAAATTTTATATGTATTTTAGTTGTTTGTGGAATTGGGGATTTTTCAAATTTTAGGATATCCCCGAAAGTCGTGGCAAAGTAAATGTTACTGCAATTTAATTCATAGTTAGCATTAATTAATTATCATATTTGAGATCATCCTTTCGAAAGATTATAATCGACACTGTATGTGAAAATTCGATCATAAGAACATGAAGGGAACCAATTTTTTTTTAATTTCGCGCACTGTAACATTTAAATAACTTTTGTTCGGAGTTTTACGAGATAATAGCTGCTATCGATAAGAAGGATTACCTTATTTATGCTACTTATTATGCATAAACAAGGCATAATTAATACTATTATGCCCTATTTATGCTAGTGTAAGAGCTTATATAAAATACCATATAATACCTACAAAATACCTTATAATGTGTAAAAAAAAATTCCTAAAATACTACCTTATTTATGCCAATTAATTAATAATACAGTTATGAAATCAAACACAAATATCCACTCTGAAAAACACTTCTTAATAATTACTTCTGAAAAACACTTTCTCTGAAATAATATTAAGTTCTTATTTCAATATGTTCTGGTTGACAAAAAGCTAATTTGTTCTGGAAAAAAATAAACAGTGCGAAATTTTAAAATTGAAACACCTGAATAACTATTTATTTAATGATTGGATTTTTTCGTACTAAGATGTAATGTGCTTATGTTAGATTGATTCACCTGAATTGGCTAATTTGTGCAGTTACGGAAACAGTCACAATTGTGTACTTCCCCTGAATTATATATACCTTCTTAATGTGAATAATGTGAGAAAGTATCAATCTGGAAATTATAGTCCCGATATTACTTTTTACCCCCCCCCCCCTTTCTGAAAATATTTAAGCTTATTAAAAATAATTTTCTCATAATTATAAAACTCGCCTATACAAAAAATTTTTATGCAAGTTTTTTTTAATATTTATTATTATTATTTTTTAATAATGATCGAAAAATGTAAGAATTTTAGAGTTCATAAGTAATCCGTGGTTTTAAATGACTAAATTCAACATTTCTAAAAACATCAAAATCTGTTTGAAGGCTTGTTTAAATTGTGGAATTAAAAGAGCGATAATTAGTTTCATTAGACAAACTGGTTTTGGTGTTTTCATCCCTCATTTGTGATTCAAGAGGTTTTGATATCGTTTTTATTTCTTGTTTGCTTAAATATTTATTTGTGATCCTTAAACTATAACCTTTTTTACTTCATTTTTTATAAGGATTCTAAAAATATTTATTGTGGATGGTAATTACTAACACCCTGAATATTATATATATATATGATTTTTTTTTTCTCATCGGTAGCAAAAATGTGTTAGAAATTAATGCAACTATTACGCGAAAAACTTATTATTTATTACAATTTTTTTCGTTTTTGATATTTAATTTTAATATATATGTGTTAACATTAAACATTATATTATTTCGTTTACTACTAAAATTAAAAAATAGTCTTGACAAATTTTTTTTGTTGTTTTAAATATTTTAAATTTGTGAAGAAATTTTTTTTTAATGTTTTGAATTTATGAAAAAAAAATTTATGAGTCATCTTTATGAACCACTTCTCCCATTTTCATTCCCTACGTTCACAGAATATTCTTTGAAAACGGACACACTACTATATTTAATGTAAAATAGTGAAATTGTCAAGAAATTTTTTTTATTTTTTATTAATGTGGAATTTGCATCTTTCAATTACTCTTAGTAAAAAAGAGCATAATAATTACTCAGAAAAATACAGGCTTTCATTTTTTAAGAGCATGTGGCTTTAGTTAGAATTTTATTCCCAATTTTCTCCTCAGCTGATAAGACGCCGATAAATTGACGTCATTGCTACGATCAAGCTCCCGCGTTAACAGCAATGCAAGTTCAAAATATATAATAGTAAAAATACGCGAATTTTATTTCGTAACACTACTCCACGTTTTGCTTATTCAAATTTAATCTACTTTTTTCTTCTTTTACGTATCACGTGGTTATCAGGAAAGTAACTTCTAACGTTTTGAATTGAAGGCGAAAGAGCAGACGATCTTAGAAAAACACGCAGAAGGCCGAGCTATTTTCAGTCTTGGAAAGTGATAGGGAATAAAAAAAAAATACTCTTCATTCTCAAGTTCTTTTCTTGTGGGCGTTGTTCGCCAGATGTGAATTGGTGCATAAATCGAAAAGTTTCAAACTTATTTATCTTGTCTATTTGAAAGAAATAGCAAATTAATTTCAGTTCGTAGAATATTAAAGAAAGAACAATAAGTGACGTCACTGACACGTGACACAATTTATTTGCTGATTATCACTGGAAGGATTATAATTTGCTACTAGTGACAATAGAAGTCGAATTCTTCCGTAGTAAGTTTGTTTTCTTTCTTTTTTATTGAACAAATATTGCTTAATGTTTTTTTATTGTATGTTTCATCATAAAATTTAGTTTCTCTATACAATTACTTCCATTGGAATCGTAGAATGATATTCCTCAACACATTTTTATAGATCATGTTTGTTTGGAAGGGAAAAAATTATATTATTTTTTAGAAAAATTTATATTAAAATAAAGGATGAGCTCCCAGCCAAATTTGTCATATTAACTATATTTTTAAATCGGTTCTTTTATATTTGATTAGTATATCAGTTTAAAGAACATTTAAGTTCAAAAAATGAAAACATTTTATATAATTTTAAAGCTTAATAAAATGCCGAATAAAAAATTTATAATTTCTTAATATGGAATATATCATTCAACATATTTTGTATACATCTAAGCAGAGGGCAAATAAGTGTTAAATTAGGTCTATGCTCTAATCAAAATGTCAGACCTTAGCAAACCTATTAACTTTTCTAAAAAAAGTCTGGTGTTCACTGTGGCAGTTTAATTTTCCAAGTACTAATTTATAATGCACATAATTTAATTTTATTAAAGAAACATGTAACATTTTAACACCCAAATTGTTTATAAGATTTTTGATCATTGACAGTGATAATAAAATTAAAATTTTAAAAAATGTGAAACTTTAATTGAAGTATTTCTAAATAGCCTTTTTTACTGTACGAAGTTAATAAGGAAATAAATACAAATACTACCATCTTGTAAATTCTTCTCTCTTTTTAATTTATATTTTTTGTGGATGGGAAATATTATTGTGTAATTAACCGATTAGACGATAAAGGATCAAAATTTTGTTAGCTAAAACTGGATTTACTTTATGAAGTAATGTAAATTTATTTTATAGTAATATTTTGACTTATACTTATCAAGTATGGTCATATTTAATGTCCAATTTTGATGGGTTTTTTTGAAAAACTCTTAAATGGAATTTTACAATATTTATTTATTATTAATTTTTTTTACTGTCTTATATTTTCAAAAACTCATAAACATGGGAGGATTTCGGAATTTTCAAAGTTTTGGTAGTTGAAATACAAAATTTAGAAAGCTCCTAAAACTTCTTTTCACTATAAATTAAAAGACTCTACACGACATTAAAAATATTTGTGAAGCTGATATGATGTTATAAAAGGTTCTACAAGGCATTAAACATATTTACAAAAAGGGAGCAAATTACTGAAAACTATAGATATAATAGTTATAATTAAGATTACCTCTCATTTGGATTAATATTTATTACATGGTTTTAGTAAATGCTTATATTTTATTTTTTAAATTTTTTATTCGAATCAGTATTTAAATACTGATAATTGAGAAAGAATATTTAGATAATGCAAGAGTATTTCGTGTATTTATCTGTTTGGTATTATGCTTTCACCTGTATAAATGTACATTTAAATCGATCGATAGATTAACAATCACTTATATTTGTTTGAATGTCAAATTAGTTTTGATAACTATTATTGCTGGATTGTATTTATTTTATTAATTGCGTAATGTTTACTTTTAATTTTTGGTTTCATATATATATACTGTAACATTTAAATANTATATATTGCATTAATATTGCAGTTAAATTTATTTATTTTTATAAATTGAAAAATTATGATAACATTGTAAGACATATTGTAGGTAGGGAGAAGGATTACCGTTGTGCTAAAGTTTAAAGGATTAAAAAAAAGTGCTAAATGTAGAAAATACTTATAAATAAAAGTTTAGTAGATTGTAGCGAAAGTTGTCCTTGGGGGGGCCATGGCAGCTCAGGGGATAGAGCGTTCGCCTTCCACTGGTGTAAACCGGGTTCGATTCCCAGCGATGAGTCGATGCGACCACAGTGCTGACGTAAAATATCCTCAATGGTAGGCAGATATGGGTTAGTCCTCCCCCCCTTATCGTCAGGCCATGCAGGTTTTCGTAGTTTTCCTCTCCAAGTAACGCAAATGAGGGTTAGTTCTATCAAAACGCTCTCCGCGATGGCAAACTTTCTCCCTATACTTGATCTCGCCATTTTTCAAAAACCATTTTCTACTCCCCGTTTTTTAAATTTATTCTCCCTTAGGCCGGTGGTAACTGTTACTTTTGCCCAATATCATCTACAATTTTTACTTTTAGAGGCGAAAGACTTGGAGGCCTGTTCTCGGAGCAGGTGACGAAAAATTTTAGTGATAATTTTCATCATCCTGTTGCATTAATTTCGATAAAACTTTAATCTCTGATTGAACAGAGCTGAGAAATCAGTGGCTTCACCATAAAATGCTAATTCAGAAATTGTTAATTTTCATTAATCAACAATTTTTTATGAACAATCGGAGCGATATATTTTATTCTTTTAGATTCGATAACGATTTTTTTTTGTATTACAATACAATTTATAAAAGAATGAATATGACAAATATATTTTTCGTAATATTCGAAAGGACAACTAAAATTTATTCCGGTTTGCCCCAAAATAGGAAAATTATATTATGGTAAAACTTTTAAAACTATTTGTATAATTGTAGACGTTTTCGATTTGAATACTCACCACTAGTTGTCTTTAAATTTGGCATTCTTTCAACTTCCTCAATAGTTACGTAACTGATTTATTTTCCGACCTACTTTTTTTTTATATTTGAGTTTGCAAAATTTTTCTACACACTATTTGTAATTCTCTTCTACTAAGAATTATTCCAGAAAATATTCCCTAAATTACCTGTAAAAAACTTCATTTGCTTCAGCCGCATATAAATGGCAAATATTTATACATTTCTGAATTATTAATATATTTTTAAAGTAAATGAAGTTTTTAATCGGGTAACGTCTGTTTCAGTTTCTTGGAATTATTTATAAATCCTTCCCTAATATATTTCCATTAATTATTTAAAATAACCGGCATTATTAAAAAAAAAATTTGACTGAAGATTTTTTTTTTTTAGAATTACTTCTCAAAATTTTTTAATATATTTTTAAAGGAGATCATTTCTATGACTAACTTTTAAAGTAAAAGTTGAAGTTAAGAGTTAAAGAAAAAAAAAAAAATTCTTTTTACTGACTCAAACGATTTGTTTCCCAAAAGAAACAAAATGATAAATATTTTTTTCCTTCAAAGTAAACGGATTTTTTTTGCTGACTGAAATTATTTGCCCACCCCCCTTCAGAAAGAAGCGGTAAATATACCTTTTAACGTTATTTAGTACGTTTATTTTAACAAACATAACATTGTATATAAAACAGGTAGCAATGATTTCTTTGAAATTCTTCCAGAAGCATTTATTCCTTGAACTCCTTTCTCGGTATTTCTGCAACAAAAAAATATTATTTCTGTTTAAAAAAAAAATTTAAAAATCAATTCAAATAGTTCTAGCCATGCTCGAAAGAAAAATGACTTGTAATTACAGATAACATAAAAAGTAATTTGCTTTTTTTATGTCTTTAGTTTTGATATATTAAAAAACGATTTAAATATTATTCTGCAAGCATTTTAACTAAATTTAAACTAGTTTAAAATGAATTTAACAAATGAATGAAGTTTTAAAGTCCTTTAAATTTTACATGTTTCGTATTTAAAAAAAATTGCATCATGCATAATTTTTTAATACAAAAATATATTAAATACGTGATTTACTAGAGTTTTGTTTCTCATACTTTTTTTTCAAAGTCTCTTGATTTACAAAATTGAACTAACTGATATTGTAAGATGTTATTCATTTCACATGAGTAGCGTTCTAGACCAGAGTTACATAAAATTTTTTATTTATTTTCATTTTTGGATTAAATTTTGAGAAGTAAAGCTTTAAAAAAGTATTATTTTAATCGCGTTAATCTATTTCTTTGTACTATTATTTACTAATTTTACTACATACTCATAACATTCGCAAACATTTCAACAGACAGTTAGTTTTTACTTTAATTTTTTTTTTGTTTCTAAATGTATAGTTATTTGTTTTCCTGCAACAGGGTTATTAATTCTTTTAAAATCTTTATCTTAACAAATAAAATTTTTATTTGAAATTTCTAAATAGATGAGGTTCTAAAATTTTTTTTTGCAATTTAAAATTAAATGTGTTTCAAATAATTCAATTTATGATTAAAAAAAGCTAAATTATTTACCAATAATTTAATTTAGCAAATTATATTAAAATATATAATTTTATTTTGTTAAGTCACCTGCGGAGCCACTAAATATAAAAATAATTGTATTCCTTTTACAAGCTCTCGCTTCTCAGTTTCCCGTTGACCCCATTTTCATTAATTAAATAAAATTCAATTATCCAAAAAATTAATCTTAAAATACTTGACTGAAATGTTTAACAAAGCTACAAAGGTAACATAACGTGAACGTATTATGAATAAAATTACGTTTTAATCCAATAGAATAGTCACTTTATGGTGCTACAAATTAAATAAATTTTATGCCACTGACGTGAAAGGTCTAATTTTATTATAAAGTTATACAGTGAAAAAAAAAGTGTTTAGATCCATACATGGTTTGAACAATAACTCCTATACTCATATATCCAAAAGTACTTGGAGCCAGAATCCAGATCTATTTGGAATAATCGAAATATTGATTAAACTCATTGTTTAATCTTTTTTTCATCAATAAACTCTGAAAATAGAGGATTCTTTTTTAATTTTGAGACTGCTTTTTGACATGATCAAAAACCTGTCGAAATATGTAATAAATTGGCAAAATACGTCGAAAACTGTCAAAAACCTGGGGCAAGTTTCTTTTTTGAAATTGGAGACATTTTATTAGATACTAAATCATACAGAATACTTGCATTTCATACTATATGATTTATATCTATTATATGTGACATATTTATTACATATTATATTATAAAAAATGTACCCAAAATCATTGAAATTACTAATTGACTTTTCTAATGGTATTCTTAATACTTTAAGGCCCATATTATAACAATTTGGTTTATACGAGTATTATTGGTAATAACTATGAGTTGTTAATCATATCAATTTAAAT